TTTATAAACTAATGTTTATGTAAATTTGCATTTAGCTAATAGTTTTTATAAACTGACAGGCAATTACCTTACATGAAAATTACCTTTTACTTTTTCAGTACAGAACTGATGTCAATAGCATTTATTTTATTTTCATTTAAGCAAATTATTATCTTTAAATTCAATTATCTTTAAAGTACAATTTAAACTACTATTAGATAATATTGGTGTAATATTATATATATATATATATATATATATATATTAGAAATTAAAAATTATCAGAAATTTTGAATTGTGCATTTAAGTTTTTGAAGCGCCAGATCTAATTTCAACTTCCGATAATTTTCTACGTATTTCTAAAGTTTAAGAAACCAAAATTTTTAATTCGACAATATTATGATGCGTGAATTTCGAGTTTTAGTAATCACTTTTGAAGCTTTATTTGTGTTAGTTCAAGTTAAGCATAGTTAATCCAATCATGGTTAATCCAAGTGACTTTTTGATCGTGCTTTTGGAGGTTATTATAGAATTTCCATATGTTTTTTAAAATCCTGATCTTTATAATACTGTATAACGACTCGCGAGTTTCGAATTGGAAAATGATAATCACTTTTGACGTGCTTTATTTGTGGCAATATTATCGTACTGTTTTCTAAGTATTCTTTTTCGCTAAGTACTATTTCTCAATTGTTTCTCTAAAATGTTTTTTTTTTTTTTTTTTTTTTTTTTTTTTTTTTTTTGTTTTAAGTTTAACTCTTAACTAAGTTTTGACTTATTCTCTTCGTTTTTCTAAGTATCGTATCGTTTCTCTAAGAAATTTTTTTTCGATTGTAAATACAGCATTTATTGCCAAGCATTTCAACATGGTTTTGTAAATCTCGATATTTTTAATCTGTATTAATACGACACTGGAATCGCGCATTTAAATGTGCGTTTTATTTGTGCCGATTTCATCGCAAATCTAAGAGCTTTTTTTTAATCGTTCTTTTAGCAGTTATTTTTACACTTTCCCACGGGGTTTCTAAAATCTTGATTTTTTTAATCCGGTATTATAATGACTTCCGATTTTCGAATCAGGCATTTTATTCATGAATGTTGAGGAGCTTTATTTGTGCTGATTTCATCGTTAATCCAAGTTATTTTTCAATCGTTTTTTCTTTCTTTTCTGGGTTCTACTACTTATTTCCACATTTTTTTAAAAAAAAGAAATCTTGATATTTTTAACATAATATTACCACATGCAAATTCTGGACGTGGTATTTTTTTTAAAAAACTGTTTACCGTTTTTGAATTTTGTTTCATTTTTTTTTAACATAAAAAACCGTTTTAAGATTAAACGTGCTTAAAAATTTACTTCATAAAAATGTCCAAGAGTTAAATATATACTGTACTGAATCCCAATTAAATGATGAATCTAATTTTGAGCTATCATGCGTTTGTTTTATTTTAAATCATTTTAGATCCTACATAGTTTCTTTAATTAAAATATCTAATTTTCATTTATGTTGCTCAAAAAATATTTATTTTTTATTTTATATTTTCATTTAAATGTTAAGAAATTAGATCACAAATTGTTTTCATTTTCACAAAACTGAATCTTTGTATTGACGTTTTGCGCTGCTTTCGGAATTAACAGGGAGGGTGCTGGTTAGGTTAAACTTAACAGTCATGCATAACTGATGCGAACTCACAGCTGTTATGAAAATAGCATATTGTTCATATAATAGCATTTCATGTGACGACAGAGCATTCTATAAACAACTTTATAAGGCTGTTTATCGAATTTATCGATTCATCTTTTCTTTTAATTTCGTCACCATCGTTCAATTATTATCTGGTCAGTAGTTAAGTAATCAGTATGATTCTTAGTTAAAGAGGTTTCTTTTTAGAGAGATTCGTTTTTTTTTAAAGAGTTTCTTTAAGATGTTTTTCTTAGAAAGAGTTTATTTTTTAAAATCAAAGTAGATATACGTACTAAGTATCTCCTCCGTAAAAGTCAGTCTTAATCCCAAATGAAATGCCAACAATGATTAAAGGCATTCCTAAAAATAAAATAAAACACTTAATAAAAGAACGCTTGGAATTTTTTTAACTTTGCTGAGAGAAATTATTAAGAATTTTTTTTTCTTCAAGTAATTTCATTTTTTGAAAAGAGCTCTTTAGAAAGAAAAAAAAAAGAACATTTCTTTCCTTCAACCTTCTCTCATTTTTTTATTTTATTGAAATGGAATCTTATTATTTTTTAAGCTCTTTAAAATTTCTTCTTACAAATAATTTAAATGTGACCTACATGGCAGTCATTAAGGATTCCTGAATTATTAAATCTATTGAAACAAAAATTCGTAAGAATATTTAGAACAATAAAATACCCCTAACATCGTTTTGCAATTCTAGCCTGAAAACTGCGGTGGTAACAATAAAAATACGTTTCATTTTAACATTTTTTATACTTTTTCTTTTCTTCTAGCATTGGTATTATTTTTTTTAAACGAAATTTGTTTAAGAAAATAATTTTTTTTCTTCTCCAAAACCCTTTTCTTCTTTTTGTTAAAACTTATTCAATCTTCTGGCAACGAATTTTGAAACCGATTTGAATGTGGTTTGATTTGATTTTGAAATAAAGTTTGTTTTTAAAGTAATTACTTTTGAACTAGTCAGTCCATTTAAAACGAAATTTCGTTCATTAAAACGAAATTTCGGGATATTCGAAATTTCGTGAATTAAAACAATAAAATGAAGCACCTCCTTCAATTTAGTAATGATAGTTTGAAAACCGCATAGACAATGGAGAAAATAACTTCTCATGTAATACAGCTTTCGAAAAGCAGATTGGGGTAAATTAAACGCTCAAATGTTTGTTTCTTTCAAAAATCATCGTGTACAAGTTTATCAAAAAAGTTAAACCCAATTTAATTAATATGTACATAATAAAGTATAAATTGGATCTCAACAAACTATTAGGTTGGCAAGAAAGTAAATGCGTTTTTTTAATGTGAATTAAAATTCTATTTCTGTTAAACCCATCTTTCTGTTAACTACATATTCTCGCACTAATAGAACTTCTAGTCCTTATAAGCAAAAATTAACTAAATAACTTAAAATTAACTTAATATTACTAATAAATTCTATTTGCTTAATATCACTACTAACTTAAAATTAACTTAACTATTTACGATTTGAGGCTTATTATACCATTTGAAAAGAGTTTTGTTAACTTCGAAATAAGCGATAATCCGATGGTGCAGGGTCGGGGCTACATGCGGGATGCGATATCACTTCCCAACCAAGCACCAGTTATTTCGTACGCGTTGTCGTGGTGAAAAAAGATTCCTTTGCGATTCCTCATATACCCCCAGCCTTGAGCCATCAATTATTTCAAAGTTTGCATAACATTTTAAATGGTAAAATTTTCAGTAATAAAGATGACCTAAAATCACACTTGGTTGAGTCTTTTGCTGATAAGGATTGGAAGTTTCATGAACACAGGGTCATGAAATTACCAAAAAGATAGCAAAAAGTCATTGAACAGAATGGAAGAAATTTGATTGATTAAAGTTTTTGTATAGAAAAAATTAAACATTATTTCGCAATAAAAAACCGAAATTACTCTTTTGACAATCCAATACATAATAACAGTGGGTAAATGTAATTCGTAAATACAATATATATTTTAGGTCGATTTTGTAATGGAAAATAATACTTAGTAGTTATTTTTTTGTTCTTTCATTTATTAAAAATGTACTTCCGCTAAGCAATTACAAACTTTATTTCAGCTTTTTTTTTTTTTAAATTTTAAAGTAATTTTTTCCCGGAAGAAACGTTTTCTGTAATTGTATTTCGATGCTATTGCTTATAGGTAGAAACAAAAATATGTTTAATATATAGATTTAAAATGCACTTACATTGAAATTTTTCTTAAAGTATCCTGTTGTAAGTTTAGGGGCAGCTGTCAGAAATAACATTTTACGCATTCAAATTACGTTGTTAGTCATAATATTTATGATACAATGAATTTTTATGCTTTTGTAAGGTGTAATTAGAAGGCTTTAATAGTATTTTTTAATTTAAAAAAATGAAATGTTTATAAGAAAATAAGTTGAATAAAGATATCCGCGTTGAGAGTTGAAAAGATCTGAAACAAGAGTAATTTTAGTGAGAAAGAATATTTTTTTCTTTCGTATTTAGGTGGTATCAGCAAGAATTAGAATAGACAAAAATTGTGTCAGTGCTTAAGAAAAAATCAATGCAGTGTTATTAACTTAAGTAGAATCGGTATTTAATGTATGTCTTTATGCTAATTCTAATCAAAAACAAATTATAAGAAATTTTTTTAAAAAAAATGTGCTTATTGCAATTAATATACAAAATTGAAAAAAAAACTCACCATATGCAAAGCAATAATAAGCTTTAACTGATAGCTGATTTCCTCTTTCAAAAACTAATACAACCATTTTATATAAATGATAGCCTTCTACGAGCATCCAGCTGAAGGCAGATAGAATCCAAAAGTGGAGAAATGCAGCAATGATGGCACAAAGGGTCTGGAAAAAAACAAGTCGAGAATTTTTAGTTTTTCAAAAAAAGTATTTAAAGTTAATGTGCCTGATGGTGGGGTTTTTCATGTCTTAAGATGGTTGCAATTACCGCTAGAAGTGGAAAAAGGCAATAATTATAATACCTTACTCGCCGTGACAATTTGAAAGACATAACCTGGAAAAATAATCTTCAGAGTTTCATTATATCATATGAAACATAATATTAATGAAGAGTGTTTTCGTAAATGCAACAAATTTTTACTTAAAGAAATGTCATTGCCCTTAATTTAATACTCCTATCTATTTATCTACTTTAATAAAAGCTTTGACTGAGTGAATCGAGACAAATTATGGGCTATCTTAAATAATAATAAAATATCTGAAAAGTGTGTCAATATAATAAAAGATTTATATCATAATAGTAAATAATGAGTAGAAGTGGATGGAGGTTAATTTTTTGAAGCAAAAATTGGTGTCAGTTAAGGATGTGTGTGCTATCTGGATTTTTTTCATTCTTGAAATTGCTGGATATTAAGGAACAAACTGCCCCAGATGGTCTGGACTTAGCTGACAACATGTTGATAATGTCATCAATGACCTTGAAAATAAACACCCAATAATATAATAGGTATGCTAATAATTGTGGAAGAATTTACGTTTTATTCTGGACAGCAGTGAAGAATTGGAGGTAGGCAGACATTCAGAACAGAGTCATCCGAGCAAAAGAATAATAGAAGCTATTAAGAAGCATCTAAAAATTCTGCAAATCAATTCAATACAGAACAAAAATATCCCTAAAACAATAGTGAGAGCAATGTTATTTTGGGTTGTGATCATGGCGCCCAGTATCTAGTGGTTCCCAAATGGTGTTCGGCGGAACTCTAGGGTTCTGTGGAAGTGTTTAAGGGGTTCAGAGAGTTAGGAATTTTTTTAACCCGTTATAATTTTCGAAACTTATAACTAAATTTATATCCAATTAATTATTTATTAAATATTTCCGTTATTTTAAGGAAATTATTAATTGAAATGCAGGAAGAAAAACCAAAGTGTTTTTTTGATAAAAAATATTGAAGAATAATGAAAAGGATATGTAATATATAATTGGATTATAATTGCATTAGTATTCGCATTGAATAAAAATAACCGTATTCAAGTAAGCTCTCTTATAGCTATTCTTTTGTTTTCGTCCTTTTTCGTTCAATGTTTCAGCTCATTCATTTTCACTTTTTGTCAAATTAAGAACAAAAAATCAAATTATGAACTAGAAAAGACTTTTGAATTTAACTCTCTGACATTAAACCCAATTTTAAGACTATTGATAAAACGATAGGATGAAAAAATTTTTTTCTTCCTTCTTTCACTAAATCTTTTCAAAATAATTGATAAAATTTCAATTATTGAATATTTTCCAGATGATTAAAATTTTTTCGTTGATTCACTATTGCTAATGGAATTTCGGGGATTCTGTCAAAAGAAAGTCAACCATTTAGGGTTCCAAAGCAGGAAAAAAAAATTGGGAACCTCTGATTCCAAACAATTGTGATTTTTCAATATAGCTGTTTTAGTGAAATCTTAAAAATCTATTGGTTTATTGAAATAAGAAATGAAACAATATTAGAAAAAGCAAACCTTTACTACAGTGGAAGAAGAAATCAACAAGAGATGATGGTCGGGACATGTACTAAGAATGCCAAGAGGAAAATTAGCACATGTTTCTTTCTCCGTGATGGTAAGAAAAAGACTATGAATGACTTGATAGTCAATAACATACTATCCCCAATTTTTTCCCGGCACAATGAATGAAAAATAGTCTAAAGTAATATTTAAAAGTAAACTAAGAATTTATTTTTTCACCATACAACACCATTATACGAGGGTTGCTATTTATATTTCTGGCCTAATAATGAAAAAACAAATATGTAGGATCGAAATTGGTTTTATTGTTTTTCAAAATATTCTCCATGATGATCAATACACTTCTGCATGAACCAATTTTCAAAGCACTTTTTCCAGTCCGATTGAGGTAACTCCAAAACATGCGTTTTGAATGCATCAACCGCTTCTTCGGGGGTCGAAAATCGTTGTCCACGTAATTTATTTTTGATGTGTGAATAAGAAGAAGTCATTGGGTGCCAAATCAGGGCTGTACGGCGGATGACCCATCAGTTCGATCTTTCGCTCCTTCAGAAATGCCCATGTTTGAGTCGATGTGTGAGAGCTCGCATTGTNATCATTTTGTGAATCTGCCAAAGTTTTTAGGTCTGATTTATCGGTAAAATTTCAAATCTGTAGTAATCAAAATTTATCAGTAATATGGTGGACCGAAAAAGTCATAGTATCTTAAATCTTTTAGCAGTATTATGGAACAAATGTAAACTATCAACATGAAAAAGGATGATAATTCTGAATTGATATCTTCTGTTACTCCCGTGAGCCAAAATTTGGAAAAAATTAAACTTAAAAAAAAAAAAAATTATAACAAAAGTCACTGTCGTTGTTAATCGGTTTGTGGTAGCGATTAAAAGTTACAATTTCTGAACAACAATATTTCTGCAAAAATCTTAGAATTCGACGTAAATATCTTCTACCACATCGACAGTACTAGATTTTGGATAATAAATAGTTGTATTTAAATTGCTTTAAAACTATATGTATTTATTTAAAAATGTGCGTTAAATATCCAAATTTCGGTGCCACTATGACGGTCGGAGTTATTAACTTAAATTTTGAACATTTTGTAGTTAGCTGGTAACTTTTAAGCTTAACTGAAAGCTTGTAATTTTTTTGATATTGCTTGTAATTTTTGCAATTTTTGGCCCATTGAGTAGCAAAAGATACCAATTCATAGTTATAAGATTTTGTGTACTTCTTAACGTTGGTAACAGGCATGTTTTTTAAAATACTAAAACATTCAAGATACTTCGCTTTTTTCGACCCACCTCAAACTATCGAAATAGTCAATTTCAGTTATTTCAAAATTTTTTATAAAAGCTTTATAATTTATAGATATTTTATTAAAATTCATTGTAATTAATTCTTCGGGCATACTTACTTTATTTCCAGTTTTATCCAAACCGAATAAAATGAGTAAATTTGTAATTAATAGTGCAAGACACAAATTACCAGTTATTATGCCTCTTCTTCCATGCAAAGATCTGAAAAAAAAGACATAATTTTCGAATATGACAATGACTGTCTGTTTACATCAATAACTACTACTTTGTCTACCTGTTTACATAATTACAATAATTATTTAATCAATATCTATCTACACACATCAAAGAACATACATCTGCGTCTATCTACATACAATAATGAAACATACATCAATGAACATGCATCTATATCTACATGCAGAAATGATCACCGGGGTTTTCCATTAAGCGACCGATGATTTAAAATCGATAAAAGGAAAACGGATGGAGATGGAAATGTTTACGGCATTTTACTTAGGAGACCAGTTAAATTATTCTCAGTACGCTTCAAATTTAGTTACAAAATTTGCCAATGGAGGCAAGTGAGAAAAGCTATGATACACTGTTTCTAAAATAACTGCCATTTGCCGCAACAATATAGCGTAATCAAGACAAAATGTACAGACGTCCGTTCAGATATTTCAGTTGGAATGGTCTGACATGCTGCAGAAAATATTATTTAAGATATTTAGTCAGCAGTGCCACCTGTTGACAACCTTTGTAATCAATTTTTTAATCTTCATGTGAATGAATGTTCTGGTTTCCTGAGCAGAACGTAGCTTACCGTACATTTCTATCTTTAATTGATTTTTTGAATTATCAGTCACTTTTGGGCACGATCAGTGGGAACAAGTGGATTATAATTGTGGCAAAGTTTGACACGGCTGAAAAAAGCGTAGCTTTTAATTAGTTTAATTATAAATATCTTAGTAATTATTAATTAATTATAGTAAGTTACTGTTACTACTTCTAGTTATAATATGTCTAATTATAGTTATTAATTACAGTAATAACATATGTAAATATAGTTGTCTGAATGATGCTGGAGAACGTTCATTTTTTTAAAAATGAAAGCTATTAATTTTATTAAACGAGAATGATATGTTTTGATAATAAAATACACCTAACACTATTGAACTCCCCACCAATATGGTGTATCGAAACAAAAAGCGTATTTCATTTTGGGCTTTCTAATTAAATTAGGTTGAACCTTGCTCAACTGGTATTGTTCCTTGTTTGGATGACCGAAAATTTGGGTAATCCAAAAATTCCGGTTGCAATTGATGTTTCACTTTTGCGAAAATAATGAAAGGCAAAGCTGTGTCTTTGCTTCGTGCTTTATCTTGATGAATAGAAATTTCGGTAAATTAAGAAGTTTATGCATTTGAATGTTTTTGATACTACGATTTGTAGAAAAAATTTCGAACATGCACTCTTTAACTCAAATATAGTTAGAGGTAAGCGCAATATTTTAAAAAAATTTTTCTACTACGACTTACAGTTAAAGGTCTGGAAAAATTACTGTCACAAATTTTCTCACGCTTTACAGACCTAATTTTTTGCTGATAAGCTCGCTATTCGTATCCTGTAGGTTGAAGTTTGAACTTTTCTGAGCAAGAGGAAAAAAGTTTTGCCAAACCAGTATATTTAAGAAGTAATGGAATGATGACTCATGATAATTTTGCTCGTCTGGCTCACCTAGTTTGATTTCTACAGTTTTCGAACAGAAACTTTTTGATCGTTCCTAAACTAAAGATCAACTAAAAGGTAATATTTTTGTTGCATACTTATATAAAGTTGTTTGATAAATAATATTCATTGACGGTTTATCGAATTTCATGCATTGAGGAAAGCACTATAAAGTATAGCTTTCCAATAATATAGCGTGTCAGAAATCAAATTGTAAGTGAACATTAGGAGAAATAAGTGATCATTAAGGGTAAGAAATCAAATTGTAAGTGAACATCAGGGGCTAGAAATCAAATTGTAAGTGAACATCAGTGGTTAGAAATCAAATTGTAAGTCAACATCAGTGGTCAGAAATCAAATTATGAGTGAACGTTAGGAGTCAGAAATCAAACTGTAGGTGAACAATTCTCAACCACCCAACTGTACGTGAAATTTTCCTACTGAAAATCCATCATTACATTAGAGTTAATTTCAAATGATAGGATCTTGCCTTTAGCAAGACGAACACCCCACGCCGTGGGCAGTGACAGCAGAAGTATCTCATGAGTAGGGGGGGGGGGCTCTCGCCTTTCTTATATATATATAGAATTAACCGAATTATTATTTAGTGTTAGTCCAAATTGTCTGAACGTCACAAAATAGCAATCAAAAATTCGAACTTGCAATTATAACTTTATGGTTCGAATTGTTTTAAAATTAAAATAAAATTTAAAAATGAAATTCTTTACCTGCAAATTATTTATTTCTCATTTAACGGTATTTTTTTTAATACTGCTTCACTTTTTTTAAAAAAAATTATGTTCGTTGGGACATTTGAAACCAAGAGTTTCCCCATCGATTAGCAATAGGGACATATATTTCCTCTTCGGGAGGATGAGTAAGAGATGATTTGGTAACAGTTTTCACCAAGAAAATGTTAAAGCTCGCTTGAAATGGAGACATTTTTTTTAGAAAGTCTCTATTTTAATATTTTTTATAGAATTTCATTAGACACAAAAAATTATTAATTTTTCATTGTAAATTTAATGACACAAATATTGAGCGAAAAATTATAATCTTAAAAGGAGCTGTGCATCCTTCATTATAAAATGTGTTACCTTCACTTAAAAAATGTAGCCCCCCCCTCACCCGATTCCGCTGTCCCTCGCCGTGGGAAAGACGCGACTCGGGAAATTCAATTAGGGCGTAAACCTCTCACCGTACAATTCATTTGCGAAGTGACTCACTTTAATTTCTTATTTTTGATTTAAAAAAAAAATTTCACATTATGTGACGTTTCATCTACTCTAGATAAAATGCACTACTCCTCGCGTTTTGTTTTGTGACCCTGCATTGTATTATGAAAGCTGTTTGTTTTGGTAAGTGCTATCACTCCTTAAAGAAGGGATTTGTTATAATATATATTGGTTATTAAAGCAAGTTGCTGCCACAATGCTTATTAATATGAGTTTATAGATAACTTACCTTATGCTTAGAAAACATATCAATGTTATGACTAAAGATAATGATGACATACCACAACAGACATACGTCATCAACGAAAGAATATCATCTTCTTTCACCTAAATCAATGACATAACATGTATCACCTCAAGCAATCGAACAAATCATTTATATAAAATTGTGTCTTTTGTTTAATTATTTGGAAGATTTTGATCAAACCCTGTTAGAAATACAATAAAAGCTCTATATAACTATTACAAGAATTCAGCTATTACGAAGAGTTTTTAATTCACGTTCAAAATACTAATATTAAAAACACAAAATGGTATGTTTATAACGAGTTAAGAATTACTAGCCTTCTGCTATTACAACAAGTTTGTAATTCTCTTTCAAAATACTATTATTAAAAATACAAAATGGTATGTTTATAACGAGTTAAAAATTACTATCCTTCTGCTATTACAACAAGTTTGTAATTCACTTTCAAAATACTAATATTAAAAATACGAAATGGTATGCTTATAATGAAATAAAAATTACTATCTTAAATTACTGCTATAGCAACAACTTTGTAATTCACTTTCAAAATACTAATATTAAGAATACAAAATGATTACTAATATTAAAGATACAAATGGTATGTTTATAACAAGTTAAAATTATTAGCCTATTGCTATTACAAGAAACGAGAAACATTTTTCTGCTGTTTTTTTAGTGAACAAAAAGGTTTAAATGGAAGAAATTTTCATTAATTTCAGGTACCGATGCAGAAAGACGAACATTGTTACCTTCTTATAGTTTTAAACTTGTTATTACGAAGCAATGTGGGGCGACCACCGACAAAGTGATCTTCTTAACAAAGAAAACGTTTTTCTGTTATTTTTAGAAATTCTGCATCGCATTATAAAAGACTTACATTAATTACAGAACCATGATGGCTCAAGGGATAGAGCATTCGCCTTCTAATGGGATGAATCGGGTTCGAAACCTAGAGACGGCTGGTCGATACGAATTTCGCATCCGGCTTGCACCGACCACAGTGTTGACGTAAAATATCCTCAGTGGTGGACGGATCATGGGTTAGAGTGCCCTTGCCATCAGGCTAACCGTGGGAGGTTTACGTGGTTTTCCTCCCCATGTAATGAAAGTGCAGGTTAGTTCCATCAAAAAGTCCTCCACGAAGGCATATTTCTCTCAATTCTTTAACCAGAAGTTTTCTTGTGTTCTGGATTGGGTTTAAAATCACAAGACTACGGAGTTGAACATTAGCTGTAAACCCAAAAATTGGGTCGGCCGCTCAACGACTGTTATTTTATAAAATAAAATAACTACATATCTCAGCCGCGATAGCTCAGGGGATAGAGCGTTCACCTTCCAATGATGTGAACCGGGTTCGAATCCCGGAAATGGCTGGTTGATACGAGTCCGCATCCGGCTTGCACCGACCACAGTGCTGACGAGAAATATCCTCAGTGGTAGATGGATCATGGGTTAGACTCCCTTTGCCGTTAGGCTAACCGTGGGAGGTTCTCGTGGTCTTCCTCTCCATGCCACGCAAATGTGAATTAGTTTCATCAAAAAGTCCTCCACGAAGGCAAACTTCTCCCAATACTTGATCCAGGAGTTCCCTTGTCTTCTGGATTGGGCTCATANGTTGTTCAAAATAAAAGAGGCAAATGTATCAGTTTTTTGAATTTTATTGCTCTTTTAACATTAAATATGCATATTTGCTTATAACAACAAGCTTGCTATAACGACAATTTTATCTACTATTATGAATTGTCGCTATAATGGACTTTTACTGTACTTATCATCACATAACACGGAATCCTATCCTATTAAAGGTGGTGTTTTATATACTTCCCCAATATGTAAAAATGACTAGCGAAATATCTTTAGATTTTTGGTCTAATAAATGCGATTATTACCTTCGATTTATATGTTGGTTTACTATACCTAGCGTAATGTGTCGAAAAACTTTTTGAATGAAAACTAGTCATATCTTTTTGCTGCTAAATTTTTTAAACATATTTTTGTTCTATTACAAATTTTTGAAAACCGTTAGTCTAATCTCTAATTAAGGGCACCCTTTATAAATAATTTTTTTTATATTCTGTACTCTAATCATTTTTCCATATTTCTGATTTTATTTTATTTTATAACTGGCATTGAACATCCGACACAATTCTGAGTTAACGACTATCAATGTTCCGTTGTCTTGTAATTTTGAACTCAACCCAAAAAACAAGGGATCTCCTGGATAAAGCATTAGGACAAACTGGCCTTCGTTGAAGATTTTTTGCTGGGACTACCCGGCATTTGCGTTTCATGGAGAGGAAAACCATGAAAACATCCCATGGTTTGCTCGATCCGCCTACTACTGAGGATATTTTATGTTAGCACCATACTCAGTGAAAGTTACGAGCAAATTTCGTATCAACCAACCACTGTTGAGATCATGTCATTGGGAGGCTAACGCTCTATCCTCTGAGTCACCGTGGCTGCAAAATTTCTGATTTGAAAAAAGCCTTTTATATCAGTTCATTTGGTGATAGATACGTTAAGTAAGAGTTAATTTACCCAAAATTAGGAGTGCTAAAACTAAAATGCTTAAGGCTTTGTTTGTTTGAACCCAACCCAGATAGCAAGGGATCTCCTGGATCAAGCCTTGGGGCAAATCAGCCTTCGTTGAGGACTTGCTGGAACTAACAAGCCTTTGCGTTACACGGAGAAGAAAACTACGAAAACATCCCACAGTTAGCCCGATCTTGCAAATAATCCGTCTACTACTGAGGATATTTTACTTCCGCAACGTGGTCGAAGAAAACAGAGAGCAAAATTCGTATCAACCAGCCACCACTGGGATTCGAACCTGGATCACCTCATTGGGAGGTGAACGCTCTATTCTCTGAGTCATAGAGAATAGAGCGTTCCGTCTACCACTGTCATATTTCTGAAAACCTTTATTTATCAGTTCATTTGGTCATAAGTTAAATCAGAGTCAATTCACTAAAAATTGGGAGTGTTAAAATTAAAAATCTTATTTTAATAATATAACAATCCATCAAATAAATGTTTTTTGTATTCCTTAAAAAATTAAGAATGGGCTCATAAAAAAACCTACATTTTAGAATAATTAGTAAAAAAAAGTTTATTTCAATAAGGATCGCAAATGAATATGTAAGCGAAGAAACAAATGAAGAGTTTACTAAATATCAGTCGAATCACTTGTGAGGAAGGTGGGATGAGAAATACACTGCTCAAAACAATTAAAAGATATTGAGGTTTTGGGTTGAAATTGCACCTGGGGAATTGTTTGAATGATTTATACATTATCGACAGACGTAGTGGGCTATATGAGATAAAAATCGCATTTGCTTGGCAGAAAAAAATGCGTTTTATTAAGCATTTGGGTACAAAAAGAAAAAAACACAATTTGTGCATATGAGAAAAACTAATAAAAAAGAATCTTCCTTGAAGGAAAATCGTTTTAGTAGGGGGTATGGTTTCCCTGGAACACCTTTGAGGCATTGAGTCAATGAGGTTATTAATGAGGGGCTTTGATATTCNGTGGGCTATATGAGATAAAAATCGCATTTGCTTGGCAGAAAAAAATGCGTTTTATTAAGCATTTGGGTACAAAAGGAAAAAAAAAACACAATTTGTGCATATGAGAAAAACTAATAAAAAAGATGCTTCCTTGAAGGAAAATCGTTTTAGTAGGGGGTATGGTTTCCCCGGAACACCTTTGAGGCATTGAGTCAATGAGGTTATTAATGAGGGGCTTTGATATTCTATCCCACTCCTCCAGAAGAACTCTTTCCAGTTCTTGGAAAGTTTGTGGGGGTGGTAGGTGCTCAGCAATTCACCTGCCTAGAATGCCCCAAGCATGATCGATTGTGTTCATGTCCGGAGAACACGCTGGCCCATCCATTCGAATGATTCCTTCCCCCAAAAGGAAATCATTCACCAAGTTAGCACGATGTGACCTGCAATTCTCATCCATAAATTTCAGAAGTATTTATTAACATGGTTCCCACAAGTCTTAGAAAATTTTGATAAATGTTATAAATAGGTGACAAACCTCGATCATTTAATAAACTCGTGACCACCAATATACTTTATTGTAAAGAAAACGTATACAGGGTGTCTGGCCTAGGACTGACTGATTTCAAAATTAAAAATTTCGGAAATAGAGGATAATAAAAGAATGAAGCAAACGGTATGTTTGTTGTGAATGTTGTAAAAAGTTTCTAAAGAAATTTTAGAATTTAGTCACAAAAGATGTCGATAGATGACGTTGTATGCTGTTCAGATTTCTTGAATAGAGTTCTTGAAATAATTTAACGTGTTATATTTCAATTCGTAAAAAATACGTGGTTAGATTATTGAGTACGAGGTTTAATTCTCCCAATCCGGTATGATAGTCTCCTTTCACGTTTCAAAGCTAGAATTGACAGCTTTGTTCGTTGATGGATTGCAGCGTCATCTGTTGGAAACTCCAAAATCTCTACATAAAGTTTTGCAGCTTTCACAATAAACCACTTGTTTCATTTCTCGATCAACCTTTGTTTTCAAGATTTTTAATTTTGAAATCAGTCATTCCTTCGCTGAACAACCTGCATATGAAAACTACAATAAGCATAAAAAATCTCTAAACTATAACTGGTTATCTTCAAAAAAAAATCTTACTAGCATTCATTACCACAATTAAATGTTCTAAAACCTTGTTTAAGAGCGTTTATTACAGATTACGTGGTCAAATAACAAGATTTTTGAAATTGAGACATAGCTAAGACAAAAATTTTCAGTTATTGTTAACAATGGGGAGCTGCAAAAAAAAAAGGAAAAGAGATACTTACATTATTGTTAACGTCCATGAGAACAGCAAAATTTGTTAGATGGTTACATGAACAAGTCACATGAGTCTGATTTGAAGAAATAAAAGAACAACCTGAATCATCCCATTTACCATATTTAGACCTTTGAAAACAAGTATAATCAATTTCATAATAAATAAAAGTTCAATAATGTTCAAAAGAGAAAGTTGAAATCAAAATAAAGAAAATAAAATAAAAATGATAGTAATAGCATTAAGATTTACTTGGAAAAATTCCAAAACATGCAAAATAAGCGTCGTTTATCATCGTTCAAGTTGTGCCGGAGAACTATTGTGACCAATTTTCCTTCTGGTAATATTAAACTTTTTGTGTCATTGTTCAGAGAGAAACTAATGACTTGGGTAACAACTTTTCGTTCGGTGCTAAAATAAAACAAAATAACAAACACAAAATTATAATATACAACTCGAAAAAATCAATCGAACAGTTGTTGCAAAATAATGGGGCTTAAAAATGCGCCTTTGACTGAGAATATATTCGCCGCATTTTATTCGCTTTTGTATTTTGACAATTAAAAACTACATGTTTTAAAATGATTTGATGAGTTTGAAATTATGATCTTTCTATTACTACAATCCCTGGTCCATTTATTAGACGCACTATAAGATTCTATGAAAAATCTCAATTATCAGGTGATACTATACAGCTTTATTGTTTTCACACGACTGAAACCGGTTTGCATTTGTTTACGTTCGTGTATCAATTGGTTAACGCTGTAATGCAATACTTTAAAAATAAATAGGAAGTATGTAAAAAATCTCCTGAATAAAAACCCATTGCATGTATGTTTAATTATAAAGGTATTGCATACAAATTCGTGCAAAACATGTAATTATTAAAACACTACAGTGCGTGTAATTATTTGGTCTAATTATTATAATATACTAATATAATACCGGATATAATAAATATTCTATATTTATATGATATATCGTCTAATTTATCCAATCATCGAATTTATATTACAAGGGGTGATCAAATGAAAAGGTACGAAACGACATGGTGGGTACAAATGTGGACTTTATTCAAAATATACACCATTGGCCTGAGCACAACGATCCCACTGATGAACGAGCCGCAGGATTCCTTGTTCCCTGAATTCCTGTGGCCGTGACGAGACCCAGTCCTTCACAGCATCCTTGAGTACGTCGTCCGAGTTGAAGAGCTTCCCTTTCAGGCGTTCCTTCAGTGGACCAAACACATGGAAATCGCAGGGCGACATGTCCAGACTGTAGAGTGGATGGTCCAACGTCTCCCACTTGGACTTGGCCAGTTCCATGTGTGTGACTCTGGAGACGTGTGGACGGGCGTTATCATGGAGCAGAACCACACCCTCCGTGAGCAGCCCCGATCTTTTGTTCCTGATGGACCTGCGTATGCGTCAGAGTGTCTCACAGTACACATCGGAGTCGATGGTTTTTCTGTGCTCGAGGAAATCGGATAACACCTCGCTGCTCCCCAATCGTCGAATTTTGCAAAGCGAACGCCATCCTTTCTTTATACGGACTGTCGCATCATTTGTAAGCCGCTTTTGATAAGAGCCTCTGCTCTTTCCTGCTCACGCGGGCACCCGCGCATGCTCCGATTTCAGTCAGAGACTCCAATCGCATCCCGAGATGTCTCGCTACGTTCTCCCATAGCGGAATATGCAAATATTTAACTGTTACGTTTTTACGTCGTTTCGTACCTTTTCATTTGATCACCCCTTGTACTTCTGTACGATTATATCATGAACGATGAATAAATTTATAGTATAAATTTTTTTTTTTTTATCGTGTCCATGGACAATTAAATGGCCTCGNTCAGAGACTCCAATCGCATCCCGAGATGTCTCGCTACGTTCTCCCATAGCGGAATATGCAAATATTTAACTGTTACGTTTTTACGTCGCTTCGTACCTTTTCATTACTTATCGTCCCATTTAACCCATTGATACACGAACTTAAACAAGTGCAAACCGGTTTCAGTGACGTAAGAACAATGCAGCTGTATAGTATCAACTGATAATTAAGATTTCACATAGAATCTTAGAGTACATCTAATAATTTGGTCAGGGACTGTATGTCTTCAAAACGTAATTATTCTATAGATATTTTCACATTTTTTTTATGTATATTTTTATTATTATGTGTTCATATTGTATTAAAAAATACAATAAATATCTTCTCAACTATCATTGAAACAATAAAATATTATTTCTAAAGATAATTTTTTATTGTTTTAATGATCGTTGAAACAACTTTTATTTCTGTTGCATGTAATTTTTTAGCAAATTTTAGATACTTCTGTATAGCTGTTTTCAAATCTGCAATCAGTTTCTTTCTCCAAGCAACTGACTTTTTTTTAAAATGACATTTTTCGTCTATTTTTTTTGTAGAAATCAACAAGTTTGAAACCATTATATATGACCGGGGATCGCATAAATTTTGCAGCAAACTTTTAGAGGAGTTCAGACACGTCATTAAGATTAAAATTATGTAGGAACTCGAGCCTGGAAATGTCGTCATATGCCACCAATGGGTACTTCCTTACTATGAACAGTTTTTTTTGTGTGTGTGCTTTGTCATAATAGCAATGCCTCTCTAGCCACGTACGATAACAATTCCAGGCATGGGTACTTATGCAATTTTAATCCCGATGATGTGCTCCAACTCCCCTAATAGTTTGTCGCAATTTTCACGCAACCCCCTGTCATGCATTAAGTTTTTAAATTTGTACATTTCGATTAATAATTAAAAAAAAGAAAAAAAACGGAATAAAAAAAAACAGAATAAAAATGTCATTTAAAAAAAATGTAGCTGTAGGAGCGAAACTAATTTCATATTTAAAATCCCCACACCCAAATTAGACAAGAAAAAGTATTCTTGAAATTCTATTCTTGAAATTCTATTCTTGAAAACTATTCTTGAAAAAGTTTTCTTGAAAAGTATTCTTTTAAATGTAACAAAAAATTTGTTCCCCAGTGTTATCTTTGGATAAATAAATCTTATAATTATATGCAAAAAGTTTTCAATTAACTTAAAAAAATTTCCTAAGATATGACGAATAATACGTTAAAAGGGAAATTAATATTAGGGACCCAAAATTTCGACCGCTCTCCATTTTTGAGGTTGTTACTGCTCCCATAATTTAATATTAAAAAATCTAAATCTGCTAAAAAAGTCATGTTTATTTAAAAAGAATTTTGTCATTTAATTAATAGTTAATTAACATTTTTAAAATGAAAACGTTGAAAGAAAAGTCGACTTTTATATATTCAATGTGTTATATTAAAACACCCCAAATTTAAAAAGTAAAAATTTTTTTTTAATATTACCCTTGTATATTAAGGGTAGTCATTCGTATAAGATTTTTTTTTAATATTATATTTTGATCTAAGGCAGATTTTTCAATTAGTTTATACACAATATGTCAGGGAAAAAATACAATTTTTTTTTAAAAAAAAAGCATGAAATATTTATATAAATTTAAATTCGGAACTTATTGCGACATTATTAACAAACAGATTTGATACAGGGTAAAAATTCTAAATTAGACACATAAGTTTATAATAAGAAAATTCAAAATCTTATAAATTATAACTAGAAAATGATTAAGCTTTAAAAGAAATAGTTCTGACACCTTGTTATTCCTTCAATTCAATTTAATCATTCTTTTTGGTTTTCATTCTAGCATTTTCCAACAGCTTTAAAAAGTAATCCTCTAAATCAAATAAAAATAGCTTGAAATCGCCTTACAATGTTTCGAAGTGAGCCGACCTGGTGGTCAAGTGGTTAGCGTGCCTGACTGCGGAGCCTGATCAGGTCATGGATGTTTCTTTCTCTCTGAGTTCTATGTCCTTTCTCCTTTGTGTGAATGTGACCTGTCAACGGGTTTGTGGTTGTGTGACGTGGGCGACCCTGCTCCACCTCCGTGGCTTCGCCACAGCTGCCCACTGTTTAACGAGAAGAGAGTAGCAGTTCTGGCATTTCTGTGGTTAATGTGGTAACAGACTTATATGGTTTTGAAAAAGGTTTACTTATTAAACAAGGAAAATATTTACTTGTGACGAATTCATTAAAAGATAAATATAATTTATTATTTTAACATAGGTGTATAATTTAAATAGATATCGGTCACTAGACGATGTCACTTTAAAGTTGGCGAAAAATTTGTTGTTAAACAAGTTTGGAGACGCTATGATGGATGAAAGACGAGCGCATGCGTCGGCTCAAAAGCCTTTGGCGCTTTTCTTGTCATACAGAGGGACCTTGCTTGCCCCTGCTACGCATCGGAGAAGCTAGACTTCTTCTCGCATTATATATTCTTTGCCCCAAGTGCCCGCCATTAAAAAAATGTTTCGAAGTGTTTTAATGAATAAAAATCAAATTGCAATATTTTCGAACTTTCCACCATCAACCTACACCACATTCGGGGAATGGAATCCACAGCAGAAGGACTTGGAGTACCATCTGTGGGAAACTTTTTGAACTAAAACCCGGAACAGTGGAAGAAATATGTCTCGTGAATTTCTTTTGCTAGAATAATTTTTATAGCTGTGACCGTTTTCCTGTTATAAAGTTTTGAAATCTTATCGGTCTAATTAAGGACGTCTTGTAAGTTGGTTTGTGTTCCATATAATCTTAAAATATCATTTTAATTATCTTACTCATTTTCTTCTTTTAGAAAGTCACCAACACGTCTGTAAAGCACTCCTACAGCTGTGTTGTAGTCATTACAAACTAAGTAAGGCCGTCTCCAATTTAAATTAGCAGGTACAATGAGAGAACTGTCTATTCCTTTAACCTTTTGTGGAAAAACTATTTGATCAGCCTCTTTTTCTTCATTCATGATAAATGTTTGAAGGTCTAAGAAAAAATTGTTATTTTTATTCAACACTTCTTTAGAAGATACAGTAATATAATAATTTTCAATAAATTTTTTATGTAAATATTGGCGTTGCATTAAATGGAAGCATGCTTTGTGATAACCTTTGACTTCCCATACAATAATATACTATTTTCACTACTGTTGTGAGCTTGCAACAGTTATGCAAGACTGTTAGGATAAGTTTAGCCTATCTTTAAACAGCGCCCTCTTTGTTAATTCTGAAAATAACAGATAGCTTCAATATGAAGAAAGGCTGCAATTAAGGGAAAACAAAAAGCGTTTGTTATTCCTACGCTGTATTATCTGGACTCATAAAAATTCGCCAAAATTGAAAATTATTCTTTGATCTTGATAATTTTTATCTATTGTAGGTGGAAAAAACCACCAAAATTAGTGATTTTTAAAAATTGCGATAGCTGTTAAGACATTTAAATTATTTGACCGTTCTGTAGCATACATAATTCTTCTCAGCTGGATAGTAAATATAAAAAATTATAGTTTTGTCTCAATTGCAAGGCACTTAAACTGTGGCTTTTCTTTTTCTTTTTCTTGGCAAAAACCTTCAAAAAACACCGTCAACAAAATAGTTTTAAAACATGACGTTTACAATAGATGTCACCGAACATGACAATAGATTGCTATGATAATTGATGAACTGATGTGACAATCGATTATTATTTTATTTTATAACCGTCGTTGAACGGCCGACCCAATTTTCGGGTTTACAACTAGTGTTCAACTTCGCGGCCTTGTAATTTTGAACCCAATCCAGAAGACAAGGGCACTCCTAGATCAAGTATTGGGGGAAATTTACCTTCGTGGAGGACTTTTCGATGGAACTAACCCACATTTGCGTAACATGAAGAGGAAGACCACGAGAACCTCCACGGTTAGCCTGACGGCAAGTTGACTCTAACCCATAATCCGTCTACAACTGGGGATATTTCACGTCTGCACTGTGGTCTGTGCTTGCCGGGCGCGGAATTCGAATGACAATTATACATGACAATTGATAGACATGACAATAATTTTCATCGGGTTTTATTTTTTGCCCGTTAGTAACAAATTTACTAACTTTCCACTACTGTTCTAACTAAATTATTGGAACTTTATTTTACAGATCGTTGCTATCCTCCATTTTTTGATGGTCAAGAATTCTATCATAAGAAAGTAATGTTTTTCTAAGACGGTATGATTTGGTGTCCGATGCTCTAACCAAGAGTTGAGTAGCCCATTCGCTAGAGAATCGGACTTCGGTCCTGAGGCGTTGGATTTTGATCCTCGGAAGCAGCTATGACCCACCGTGTACGTGCGATATACGTACTCGTAAAATTCTGCGGAATCGAAAGTCCTGTAGGTGGTTGCTGTGCAATACCATTGGTACAGGGTTCAGAATTTTATTTCCTTCCCCTTCAAACCTATGTCTAAATTGTAGAAACGGCCTTTTGTAGTGGTTCTGGACATTCAGCGCTAAGCCACACTTTCACCTTAGCGGTTCTCGCTTATCAAATGAAAAGCGCTCCTTCCCGACTTAATTCACAATGCTGATGGCTGGCGAGGTGAGCTTCTCCAAGCATCATTAGAAACAACAATTCAACTTAGTTTATAGTTATTAATTAATTATTGCATTTTGGGTTAGCCTTTTGAACTATATGACGATCCACTAAGTACGTGAAAATCCGATCATTAGAACGAAAAATATCCAAGTATTTTTTCTTTGTCTACAACACTTTTTTGGTTTACTTTGGTCTTTTGGTAATAGTATTGAAAGAAAATACTACCTATATTTTGGGCTTGAACTGTAAATTGAAGTTGACCCTCGGAATTTCTTTTAATGCAGCTAAGGTGACTTCCAATGATTGTTACAATTTGAAGAATCTTGCTTGCAGCTCGGGTTTGATGATTCTATGTTAATAAAAATCCTTTATTTTTTTCAGAAAATTAAAACGAAATAAAGTAATTTTCAAAGATTTCAGAAAATGTTTAATTTTAGTATTTGGTGACACCAACAGATGTAGTCATTGAAATGCTTAGTAGAACTTCACCATATGTAATAAGTTTCCGGGAACAAAACCAAAAAAAGGATGAAAAAAACTATTTTAAGTATAAAGACAAAACACAATCGAAAGTATAAAAACAAAACACAGTCAAAAATATAAACACAAGCCACTACCTAAAGTATAACACAATCAGCAACAAAACACAGTCAAAAACAAAACACAGTCAAAAATATAAACACAAAGCACTACCTAAAGTATAAACACGAAACACAGTCAAAAGTGTAAACACAAAATAGATTCGTGCTTGTCACAAAATAGTTTTAACAGAAAAATGAATAATTTTATTTTATACTCATTTACCGATGCTCAAATAGCGTTGGTATAGTTCGTTCACCAGGAGTTGGCGCAAGACTCCGCCTTCATCACGTGGTATCCGGTGATACTATTTCTCTATTTTTGGGAGAAGGATGTGAACAATTCTGGACAAGGTTGCTATTCGGTGATGTTGTTGTTGTTGTTGTTCATTTACGTTGCACTGAAGCTACACAATGGGCTAATGGCGACGGTCTGGGAAACATCCCTTAGGATGATCCGAAGACATGCCATCACAATTTTGATCCTCTGCAGAGGGGATGGCACCCCCGCTTCGGTAGCCCAACAACCTGCACGTGAAGTCGAGCACTTTACGGTAGAACAGTTTAACGAGGACCAATACTGCACACCCTCGGTCCCCACGCAGACTGATCCAAGTGTTCACCCACCCGCACACTGACCGTAGCCAGTGATGCCTGACTTCGGTGATCTGCTGGGAGCCGTGTCTTAACGATCAGTCCACTGCGGGACGCTATTCGGTGATCGTATGACAAATATTTATTTCGCAATCTTTATGCGCATTTTTTTTAACATGAAATATTTCATAAATTTGATATTTCTTTCTTTTGGGTGAATAGTTTGTCTTTTTTGAGACATTTTGCTGCAATATATTTAATTAGCTAAAGTAACGAATGTATTAATAGCAGATGATAAAGTGAAGTAAGTGACTGAAAAAGAATACACTGATTGCGTTTGGCGCGCATTAAGGTTTGTCTCAATTTCAAGCACGGAGACTTTTCTCCTCTTACTCGCACACCGAAATGAACTCAAGAAGTGGAGCCGAGCGCCAACTTCTGGTGAACGAACTACAGTAATATTTGAACAAAGTGTCCTATATGGTGTTACAGTGGCGTGGAAAGAGCCAAAAAGCTATCGAAATTTAACGAATAATTTTTGCCAAAAGCAGGACTGAAAATACCAAAACCTGTTTGATTATGGGATAAGAAAAAAAGAGTTAAAAGGCGATTATTGGAAACGAAAAATATTATGGAAATGTGACGAATCTCTCGTGAAGTAGGAAAAGAAAATTGATACCAGGTAGACTGCCTTTTCAAATGTGCCTTTAGCCTTTCAACTCTAAGGATTATCTTCTGCCACAAAAAATCGTACTAATAAGAATTATTCTGCGTTAGAAGCATCCATTTTAAGCGAGAAATAAATAAAAAACAACTTACACATAGGGAAAATAAATTTTTTTTTATATGATAACTGCGTGAAAAACATTTAATTAAGTAATTGGAAAAATTATTCGTATAACTTGATTTTATGTAAGTTTCTCCATTTGCTATTCAGCAGAGAGATTTTTCACTTTTACGCAGCAAACATGTAGGTTCTGCGTTCAGATTGTTCTGTGGTAATAATTACGATGAGCAGCTACTAGAACACTGGATGCTGCCTGAAATTCTTTCTATTGTCTTTTTTTCTTAATTCTCTTGACTTGTTTGAATATGAGTGTGTTTGATTTTTATTCAATCTTAGTTAATCAATTTAATTTCCCTTAAGTTTTATTTATGGTGTTTTGCTTACACATTATGGGCGTTTGACGTGTTAACTGTTGATTTTTAAGATAATCAAGTTCTTGCAATTTTTCTCAAAATAGACCTTTTATTTGGGAATTTCTACAAAATTCCAAGTATAAATAAGGGAGGACCAACTTCTAAAGAATGAAGAGCAAAGTTTTCAAAGGCCCAGTCAGTTAAACATTTATTTTTATTTATTTGATTTTTATGCATGTGAAGCGACAGATAAAAGCAATTTAATCGCAAATAGTTTTCATTTAGGAAACACCAAAAAGCAACTACACAACAATAACAGAGAACCAGCAGTTAATGTAAACATTCCAAGGAATCTGAAAAGCTGGAAAAAACAAACAGAACTCAAAAGTACTTCTCTAATAAAAATATCCAACCAACCAATATAAACCACTGCTGGGCAACCTGTCAATTATTGATCACGATGCTGGTCAAACATTGTACTAATTGTCATAAAAAGACAAGGAGATAAGTTGTTCCTAAGATGTTAATTACATTATATTTACTTTTTTTGTAGATGTTTTCTTTAACATTTAGCGAAACAATTCAAATGCCCGGTTGTGCCTCTGTTCATTATTCCTTACCAGTAATTGTAATTTTGTAAATTATAACACGAAAAGTACAGTTGAACGCTGTTTGATATATGTTGGCTCAGTGGTTAAGGAACTGAATTATTAATGAGAAGAACCGGGTTTCAATCCCCGATTGTGGCTTGCAGCTCACCCATCTTCAGATCAATGGGTACTAGCTTGTCTGAGAAGGGTCAAATCACGCTTGAAATTAGAGCTAGAGGGTAGTAAGTTGTTTTTATTTTATTTATTCATTTAAAATCATTGGCTTAATTTTGTTTTTTTAAAGAGCAGAGGTGTGCCGCATTGATGATCTGTTAAGAAAAGAAAATCAATTAAAAATCAACCAATAAACAGCTCTATATAAACCTCATTTCTAATTTCTTGAAATGGAGTTAGTTAATCCTTTCAAGGCAGCAAATAAAACTGCCTCACATATTCTTGACAAATTATACTTCTGGGGGTACTGAAATGGAGATTGATCGTTCTCTGGTATAGGTCAAAATTACGATCTGTGGATGAATGAATAGATGTATGAATGAGTTCGCCATAAAAAACGGATGTGACGTATGGGTGCGGCAGAAGTCGAATTCTTGGCCATAGATGGTGCCACTGGAAAACAAGAACAACTTGCTGTAATGGTCTACGATAACAACAACAACTTATTTTATACAATAATACAAACCTTTAAAATTGCAATCTCATAAACAATGTAGTTTTTAATCAACCACTTTTTTTATTTTGAAAAAATGTTAAGTTAAAGCAAATTGATTCATTGTGAATATGCAAACGATAACCGCAATTCTTTTTGGTTTTCTTGACTAAAATTTTGATTGAAATTTTCTGGTTCGCAAAAGTTTAAATCGGGACGTCACTTCTGAACTTCAACAGCTGTGAAGAATATCATAATTTGCTGGGCACCTTGACTGTTTCCAAAAATTGATTTCAATGATTGCAATTTTATTGAAAAAATTGTTATAAGTTTCTATGCTATTGTATGTCTCCGTTTGTAAAGCATTCTTGTGAAAAAAATATAATAAAACCTACTATCAGAGCTCATAGTTCTGATAGTAAGCTTTCAAGGAATTAATTATTATATGCTTATAAGTTCTGAGATTTCCAAAACCCTAAAGGAATTATGAATTATTATATGCTTACCACAGGCAAAACTGACCAAGCATCTTTGGTCTCATCTCTTAATATATTGCTCATGGATGACACCATAGAATGAGTAAAGACATAAGATTTATTTTCTCTTGTATATTTTATCTGCGTCGAAAATAAATGCATAATTTTTGTTGAAAGTTTCACCAAAGCTGTTATATCCCCATGAGACATATTTTGTTTCTTTGTTTCTTCAGCTAACTTAGCTGATATATCGACTGCATCTTTTCCATCATCAACCTAATAAAAGAAATATTTATTTTTATAATTGAAAACAAATATATAACCGGGGTGCTTCAAAATAGTAAAGGCCGGTATACATAAAGAAAAAATGGAGTTGCAAACACTCGCTATAGAGAGGGTTGCAAATTACACGCAATATATACAACAAACAAATATTATTGTACATAAATTTAACTTTTTTGAATTTTTACGCGTTATACATTTATGACCACTACAGGAGAAAGTTAAAGGGTTGCCCAGACACCTAGAGACACACAACGACGATGCATGGAATGGCATACAGGATGATATACAGGATGCCCAACGGAGGACAGATTGATTTAAAATCTCTCGCAAAGAGTGATAGAAAAAAAACAGTGTGTTTATTCTGAAGGCAGCAAAAAATGTATGCATATTTTAGAATTTAGTTACAAATTTACAAACGGATGACTTTGCACGTTTTACAGAGCTCTTGAAAAGAATACAAATGCCAGAGGTCTATAATCTAACCAGTAATAATTCAGTTCCAGAAATACATTATGTTCAATACAAGGTATAAACATTTTAATCGGGTGCAAAAAATCTTGTTTCACTTTGTAACGGGAAAACTGACCACTCCTAGTTAACGGTGGCTTGCGGTGCAATCTGTTAGAAGCTTTTGTAAATCAATTCCGAAATTTCTGCAGATTTTTACAGCTTTCACAGTAAACGTACCATTTGTTTCATTTCTCTATTTGCTTTTGTTTCTGAGATTTTTGAAATCAGTCTGTCTGCTGTATATATCAAACACATCCTGCAAACTTTGTGGAGTAAAAGCTATTCAAATTTGGTGTTGAAAAACTCAAAAATTGTGTAAATGATTACTTTATTTTAAGTTAATACCGAATCGAGTGTTCTTTTACACTTTAAAGAGAGCAGTCAAATCTTAACACTGATAATTGGTAAAGCTTATACCAATCTGCATCTCGCTGGTAAAAAAATTCTTTTTCCGGTAAGACAGGTTTTAAACACATAACAAATGCTTTTGAACTCTTATTAGAAGCTTAAAATTAAAAGTGAAAACTGTGCCATTTCAAGGTAGTGACAACATGGCGCCCAAAATGGCGGTTTGTTTACATGAAGTGTACTGATGAAATGTGAACTCTTTTTAATGGATTGAATTGACAGACTTGTCATAGCCTATTTATTACCAAATAAGTTTCAAAACTCTTCATTCAGTGATCGATAAAAAATATTGATTGTGGTCGATGATTTGCCTAGTAATTTCAATCTTTTCTGTTGGATTGATTTGTCAAACCACTCATATAAACTGTTACATAATATATGTATGTTTTAGTTGTATAATATTGATATTTATGCTCTTATAAATCTGTCAGTAGCATTAAATAATTATACAATATTTAACTTCTATTCAAATCAGTTTTGTTCGAATTTATATTTCACTGCTTGGCAATTAGTAAGGAACAGCTGATTTATGCAAAGTAGCATTATTGACAGCCGACCAATAACAGTAAAATCAAGTGTAGAGGGCGTGGTAGAGCAGTACCCGTTATCTATATAAAAGGAAGTGCACACAATTTTTTCGTACATTCGAAAATTCATAATGTTAGATATTTGACCAAAATAGCACCATAGGTCGTTGAACTTATTTCTGTTAAATTCAGTGTGGTGTTGCTATAATTAAGTGCAAAGGGTTAGCAAGATATCATTTGAGTTTTTACGATAGTGGACGAGCAGTCAGACGACGGGAAGCAGGTCAAAATGTCATCACTGTGTCCTCAGTAATGAGAACGTCAAAAAGTGTCCTCTCCCGATTAAAAAAGACCGCTGAAGGTGGAAATGCTGTGTGTTAGCATGCCGATGGTCGTTGTAGAAACACCATGCCTCCAGACGAACGATACGTATCTCCAGTAGCGAATAGAAGCAGAAATGTCACTCTTAGGCAGATAGTTATAAACCTTGCAACCACAACTGGTACACATGTATGCTCCTAGAATCATCTCGCGGCGATAAAATCAAGTTGATTTGCATGCATGGAAACCTGTTCGATGCATCCTGCTTTAAGCACGCCATCGCCGAGTAAGATTAAGTTGGTGTAAGGAACGTATTGGTTGGGGTAATCAGTAAATGTTCAGAGAAATGTTCTTCGACGAATCCCGATTCACTATGGGTTCTGGCTACCAGTTAGTGTGGAGAGAAAGATGGAGGGGGGAACTTGTTATGCACTATAATGGGTTCATGAATGTTATCGGTATGACCCAGATGTTCCGGTATGAGCAAGCATCAACTTTAATTGCTGAACACCTCTTCACATCTTTGAGCGAGGTAACGTTACATCGCAGCGGTATTGCAAAGAGTCTATTCTGGATCTTGTTTATCTTTTTATGGATGTGGTAGGTTCAGACTTCTGTTTATGGATGACAATGCGTGGCCAGACAGGTGCTCTGAGGTATCGGACGCTCTAGAAATTAAAGATATTGACAGTATGCAATGGTCTGTGTACTCCTCTGACCTAAATCCTATAGAGTATGCCTAGGTTGCCCATGGCAGGTGTATTTCACAAAGAACACACCCTTTCAAACCCTGCAACAGCTGAAGACCGCCTTGAGAGAGGAATGGGACAATATCCCACAAGCACTATTCGATAGTTAAGTGGACAGCATAAATAACAGATACAACATGTACATTAGTGTCGGGGTAATCACTTATCTTACTGAGATACTCATTTCTGTTTCATTCTAGTAATAAGACCAACTTTTTATGGCTGTTTGGAAATCATCCTATGAGCATCTTTTCGTATTTTTAATTTATTATTTTTCAATAGGTTGATATCTGAACTATTTTGCATAATAATAAATGCAAAATGTCTCTAATAAATATGCACTTAATTTCATTTCATCAATCAACGTCTATTGTTAATTATTTCGAAAAATTTAACTATTTCAAAGCAATTGTCAAGCAGTGTAATATTCTTTCTGCGTTGTGTGTATGCTTGATTAGCAAACTAATTTTGTTTTAAGAAATATTGCTCCTAAATTTATGATTTTTGCTTTATATTGTATCGTAAAAACAACTTTTCTTTTGTGTATTATATTTTACAGTGATTCTAAATGTTAGTGTTATTGATTAACAAGCATGGTGGAGGCTACTTTTAACCAAATCGAATATTCTTGGTGTAATATGTGAAACACCGCTTTGATGTAAAGTAGTTGCAATGCAACCATTTTTGGCGTTCAGACACACGGAAGTTTTTATCTTACTTCAATCAATATAATACTGTTTGTTATTATAAGGCAAAAGTAGGCAAAGCGCTCTCTATTTTTAGAAGCGTTTTATAAGTTTCTCTCTCTCACTTTAATCTATATCGGAAAATGTAATGCAGTTATATATTTATGTAAGTGTGAGCCAATTGTCAAAAGCGCATTATGAGTTTTTCTCACTTTGATTTACAACACAAAATGCAATAGAGTTTGCTGTGATCCAAACTTTTTATTATTATCTCTTTTTTCAGTTTAGAGCAGAAAATGTTGATATGGATGTAATATAATTTTACTTACGTTATCTTCTAAATCTTTAATCCAAACATGGCTACACTCTTGGATATCCGGTTTTGGAGGTGTGAATTTTAAGTTTGTTGCATTACAAAACCACTGTGCGTATCCTAATTATAGAATTAATCTAAAATGAGACGTCTTTTCTTTTTTAGATTTCATTTCGATCAAAAATATTTTTCAAATAGTGAACAAATACATATAACTAAAGACTGTAAAAAGACACGCGTGTTTTTAGTTGTGTAATAAAGATAATTATATTTCAATTTTTAGATTTCAGTGAACAGTATTGAATAAGTTTATAATGCATAATTTCTATAGTTCGTTTACCAGGAGTTGGCACTTGGCTCCGCCTTCATCACGTGGTATCCGACGATACTATTTCGTTATTTTTGGGAGAAGGAGGTGAACAATTCAGAATAAGGTTGATATTTGGCGATCGCATGACAAATATATTTATTTCGCTATCTTTATGTGCATTTTTTTTAACATTAAATGCTTCATAAATAAGATGATTTTTCTCTCTTTTGAGTGAATCGTTAGTCCTTTTTGCAACATTTTGCAGGGATAACAGCAGTTTTTAAATTTAAAATATATTTAATTAGCTAGAGTAACGAAAGTTATAATAGAATTCATTGTTTGCGTTTGGGCTGTCTTAATTTCAGGCGCGGAGGTGTTTCTCCTCTTACTCCCACGTTGAAATGAACTCAGCGTCCGAGGAGGTGGAGCCAAATGCCAACTCCTGATGAACGAACAATATATGTATGGGCCATTTTTGAAATGAAAAGGCACTTAGAAACATATTTCGTAAAAAAATAACGGAATAACTATTAATAACATTTTTATCTGCAATTGAATGTTTCTTGTCCATAAAACTTAAAACATCAGTGCACTTTTTGATTTGGATCATAAAATAAAAAAAATCAAAACATTAACTTAAATCTGCATTATGTTTTCCTTTGTTATGTAAGTTCAAAAGCGAAATCCCTAAAATTTCTTTTTGTTAAATTTCATAGGAAAATAAAGCTTAATAAAAGGAAGGTAACAAACGGGAAAAGAGTAACAGAGGGAAAAGCTGTCAGAACTAAACTTTAAATATTCTTGCATTGTAAATTACAGAATTTTACTCATGTAAATAATGATATCTACCTATTTTTCTTTTCATAAATTTAATATTTAATGAAATACTCTTTTAAAAATCAATAAATAATGTTACAATGAACGTGGTAACCGAGTGGAAAAGTTACAGAAAGGAAAAAAGAAACTGCAAGTCAATTTACTTGGACAGGTTCAATCAAAAAGGAAAAAAAAATGCTTTTATAAAACTGAAAAACTTAGTTTGATCTTGCCATAAAATAATCAAATGATTATTAAAACAATAAATCTAAAACGATAATGCTGGTAACTGAGGGAAAAAGAATAAAACAGCTATACTTTGTCAAAGTTTTACTTCCTTAGACAATTTTTGACAATTAATGACAATTTTTAAAATGTATTATAGGCTTAATGGATAAGACGTACGATAATTACAATTACTACCGGCATTGAAAAGCCGACCTAATTCTGAGTTGACGACTATCAATGTTAAACTTCGTAGCCTTATAATTTTGAACCCAATCCAGAAGACAAGGAAACTCCTAGATCAAACGTTGGGACAAATTAGCCTTCTTGAAAGATTTTTTGGTGGAACTAACCCGCATTTGCTTTACGTGAAGTGAAAAATCACTAAAACCTCCAGTTATTAGCCTAATGATAAGGGGATTCTAATCTATGATCCCCCTGCCCCTGACAATATTTTATGTTAGCACTCCGGTTAATGCGAACCTGGAGCAGAATTCGTATCGACCAGCTAACTCTCCATCCTCTGAGCTATCACGGATCAGGATTACAATATTTAATAACCGTCGTTGAACAGCCGACCGAATTTTTTTTCAGTTTACGGCTACCAATGTTCAACTCCATAGCATTGTAATTTTGAACCCAATCCAGAAGACAAGGGAACTCCTGGATCAAGTATTGGGAGAAATTTGCCTCCGCGGAGGACTTTTTGATTGAACTAATCGCATTTGAGTTACATGGAGATTAAAACCACGAAAACAGCCCACGGTTAGCCTGATGGCAAGGGGACTCTAACCCATGATCCATCTACCACTGATGATGTTTTACGTCAGCACTGTGTTCAGTGCGAGCCGGGTGTGGAATTCGAATAAACCAGCCTTTGACGAGATTCGAAGCCGGTTCACCTCAATGGGAGGCAAGCGCTCTATCCCCTGAGCTAACACAGCTCAGGATTAACAATATTTTATATCCGTCGTTTAATAGCCGACCCAATTTCGGGTTTACGACTACTAATGTTCAACTCCGTTGCCTTGTAATTTTGAACCACTCCAGAAGACGAGGAAACTCCTGGATCTGTACCCCCAGAGGTATTAATTTGTTATGGGAACATGGAGGACTTTGCGACTCAACAGCGTGCATCAGTCACCATTTACTATACGGGGAGTCTTCGGCCTGCTGGGATCGAACCCACGAACTCTTGGGCCCAATGGCCTACCAACCAGGCTATCCCGGCCTAGGATTAACAATAAAAATAAATCTTAATTCAGATTTAATCTCACCAGTCATTCCTTCAGGGCAACTTTCATTTGCTGTTGCACCAGCTGCTGTAGGTGGCCAATCAATTTCAGCTTCCCGTGTTCCGTTACAAAACTGTGTGTTATTTGTATTTGTGGTTGTTGGGCTGAAAATATCAATACTTAATTAGTACTATTATAATTAGAAACGTTTAATTTAGTTTTTTACTTCTTAAAAAGGTGATGATTGATCTGTTCTCAAAGAACAGTTTTTAGCTCTCTAATGGGTATTTTCTTTTTATTTCAAGCTATCCGCCCTCGAATAATCAGTTGGTCTACCCTCAAGAACCTACAGCTGCTTCTTACATCTTTTGTGATTTTTTTTTTCTCATCATGAATATCAATAACGAGACAGTAGTTTCATACCTTATTTTACTTTCTGGAATAATTCAAAATACTTAAATACATGATATATTGCATTAAAAGAGTTTAAATATTTTTTTTAAAATTTTAAATATTAAAAATATCGTAAACATTTTTGACTCTGAATCACAATTTTCAAATTTATAATTTATCTGTAGTATCAGAGCAGAAGAGTATGAAATCAATCGCACCTTCTGGCAGTAGCGATCTCATCATAAATGCCAATAATGAAATACTTTGATACCCTGTTTTACCTTTTGGGTCCATTCAAAACATTTAGGAAGAACTGGAAATTCCTTTATTATTTAAAATAGCGAGGCCTTAAAATTTATTGACCTTGTCTCAGAATATTGTATAAAGTCACATTTTGAAGGACAATTATAGTTGTTCATTATTAAAAGAGCTTGTCTAATTTGTGAAACAAAAGATTTCTTACCTTGAAGTAGATATTGTTGTGACTTCTTTTGTAGATTTATAAAAACCTGGACCCAAAGTTTTGCCTGAAATAACATTCTTGAATTACTTTAATTGGAAATCACTTTGAATTGAGTTTTCTACAAGAGTTTCGTTCAACTGCCCACCCGATTCTGAGTTAACGACTGTCACTGTTCCGTAGCCATTTAATTTTGAACTCAACCCAGAAGACAAGGGAACTCCTGGATCAAGCATCAGGACAAACTAGCTTTTGAGGAGGACTTTTTGTTGGAACTAACCAGCATTTACGTTAAATGGAGAGGAAAACCTCCCACCGTTAACCTGACGGCAAGGGGATTCTAATTCATTGAGGATATTTTACTTCAGCACTGTGATTGGTGTGAGCTGCAAGCAGAATTCCAGTTGATGAGAGACAGAAGAATCGAGCGATGCGTATTTGTTTATTTATTGGTACACATGCATGCAAGCTCATGTGCTCAATTACTTAAGTACGGCTTATAAGCCGTTGTCAAGTAGAAAGACAGATAGTGCAATTAAGAGAAAACAACACGGGGATACATCCAGGATTCCAGCGGGATTCGAACCCCTCTACCTCTACAGAACATTTGACGGGTGATACTGCTCTGCCCGGGAGGCCCTAAGTACTAAATGAGGATGGGAAGAATCGTAAGAAAGGTATGAAAAGTCAAAATGGTACTTTTGTACCGCATGAATCACTTAATACGCAAAATGAGAGGTCTCTCTGGCTGAGCTGTATCACCCACCAAACTCTGCGCAAAGCTGGTTCGAATCCTGCTGTTATCCTTGATGTATGTCCATGCTGTCCTTCTATATGACAAAGGCTTATAAGCCTTAATTGAGCACACAAGCCTGCAAATGTATGTTGTAACAAAAAATAAAGAAATAAAATAAAAGGAAGCGAGTTAATATCTTTTATTGAACAACAATTCATCGAGTATAATAAATCTCTTAACTTTAAAGACACAATTATTAACGATCTTATTGAATAAGTACTAAGTTTAAAAATTAAAAGTCCTGAATAGTGAAAGATCAATGATAAGTTCCTAAATCTTATATCGACAAGTACGATGTTAGAATTGGTGTTTTGGAAACTGAAATGTATCAGATGCGACAATATTGAGGATGCAAAAACTTAGCAATTTCAGTCAAAACGGAAGCAGATTACGAAGGCCTAAAAGAATTAGTAAGCTTAATTTTAAGAAATTTCGAACGTAATTATCATTGCTCATCGTGTATGCAATCATCAAGCAAAGACAAAGTGTTGCCCAATTGTTGCACAGTTCACAGCGATGCAAAGTCGTTTCAGTAGCAGCGAATAGAAAAGATCGACTAGTATTTTATCCCCATGACTTGACACGATCTATATTCATGAGTATTTTGTCCCAGGTAATAAACACTAGTAGGGGAGTGTCGGGTACTCCCGCCCACTGTTAATTTCATATGTATAGAATATTTTTTCAAGTCAATGGGCCATAAAGATTATTTTCAAAGTTTCAAGTATTTATGCAGCTGGTAACATGGTAAGCAATTGTTTTGAAAATATGTTGAATACAGTAGTCAAATTTTTTAAATTTCTATTTTTTTAAGTTAAACTATTCTTTTTTTGGTTTATACCTTTTGTATTATTTAATTAGATGATAAAACAATAGAAACATACAAAAATATTGATTATTACTCAATATTATACAGAAATATAAGCAAAACTCTTTGAGTGGGCGGGGCTACCCGACTCTCCCCTATTCCAAATAATTTAAACGTGAAAAAATCTACTTAATTTTGCTTGGTGAGAGATTGTAAAATATTTATTAGTCAAAACTAAAGCTATAGAGCGATTCGGAAAGAAGCTGATTTGATCAATGTTAGTGTCTGTTGAATATAACTCAAATTTCCTATTAACTAACTACAGGCACTTTTAAATAGCCTGAAAGCACCCTAATCACGACAATCTCAAATGCTTCATAATACATATTACTTATTTCAATATTCAGAGAATTCGATGTTTTATGTTAATGACACTTGATTATAGCTCGAATTTCCTATTAACTAACTCTAAGCACTATTAACGTTTCTTGCCCTAATTATGACAATCTCAAACGCTTCATTATACATATTTCAATATTCAGAGAATTCGATATAATTTTGGCGAACTCAATGGGCTTTTATGTTAATGACACTTGATTATAGCTAGAATTTCCTATTAACTAACTATAAACACTCTTAGATAGCCTGAAAACTTTTCTTGGCCCTAATCATAACAATCTCAAATGCTTCATAATACATATTACTTATTTCAATATTCAGAGAATTCAATCTAATTTTGGTGAACTCAATGTGCTTTTATGTGATAACTCAATTGATATAATTGTTTGTCCGTCACATGAATGTCTAAAAATGACCAACTTTACAGTATTGTTAACTTTAAGGCATTTATTATTGCAGGAGCTCTAGTAGGTCTGATGGTGATCTAGTTTACTTTAAGTACAAACATAACTTTAGAAATATCGCCATACAAATGAGTTCTGCTGAATTGGTTGTCATGTACAATGCAAAAAAAAAAAATAAATAAATAATGATAATTAATTCATAAATGAAATAAAATAATAATAGCATAAAAAGGAAACACACTGAATAACTTTCGATCGAATGATGGGATTTTCACGTATTAGGACTCAAACTTTACCCTTTCGACCCCACCGGGACATATATCACCTGCAGGCGAAAGCACCACTGGGGCATAAGTATCCAGCCTAAAAATACCGGTGGAACAGATAAGTTTCAGCCTCCCCCCCAATAACCCCTATAGTTAATTTTTTTTATTTGATTTTGGCAGAATATTGTTAATTTTATCTATTAAAGTCGTAATTTGTCTTTTTATTGGAAAATAAAAAACTGGTCTTGAAAGGGTAATGGTTCACGGGGGTGATATATGCTAATAATTTGTGCGGATAATATTATAAGTTACGAAATCAGATACATAAACTCACTTTCTCTGCATAAACATATTTTTTTTTTTTGTAGATTTGTCTGTCGCAATAGTTAAGTCAAGAGTCAATTTTACTTTTTGCTTATTTTGCTATAACTCAACATATTTTTGAGCGAATTGAAAAATGTTTGTCCGCAATTATAAAATTCGTTTATTCGTAGATAATTGCGTGCACAAAATAATTTTTAGCGTAATGTTTCTTTGTGTAAATCCTATTCATACTTAATTGAGCATTTTATTTCAGAATATACTGTTTTTTCACAATTAATTGGCCTATAAAAATATGACAATAATTAATAACATTAATATTGACATATTGGATACATAGAAACTATAATAAAGTTCTACTGACTCAAAATAAATTTGCTTCACTAGCACCGATTTAGAAATGCATCTGGAACTTGCGTCGAATTTATTTGCTCTTTCTCTACAGACGAAGTTTAATCTGTTCGATTAATCGATAGTTTCTATAATATGTGAAATAAGATATATTATTGATATATCATGTCAGTTAAACACCGAACTAAATAATAAATGCAAATTTAATAATTAAAAAATCTCAAAACTAACAAAAATTAACTGGGTAACAAATCGTAATCAATTCGAGATAAATATATGAAAATATAGACGTCATATTTTCCGAAAATATTTATGTATGAATAGAAATAGAAAATTAAAAAAAATATCTATCGTCCAAAATACGATTTTTGGACAAAATGAATCTATATGATCACGATGGGCACTTATCAAATTTTTATGATTTTTTTTGTAATAAGTGAATCACTTTAAACTGGTTTTAGAAAAAAAATATGCGCGTTATTGAAAAATACCTATGTATATCAAGAAACATTTATAGAAATATTTAAATAAAAATTTATTATAGAACCTAGCACACAATTTTGAGTACATATTATATTAACATCACGTTGTAAAATATCGGAATTTTCTATAGTTTTTTTTCTTTTGGATCGAGCGAGTTAATTTAAACTGATTTTATTTGAAAATATGAGCGTCATATTTTCCTGTAATATCCAAATAAGAAACATTTATCTGTCATAAAAAAAAATTAATATAGTACGAAGTACGCACAGTTCGGAGCATATATAACGTCGAGCTGGACGATTTATGAATTTTTATGTATTTTTTGTACATTTATTGAATTAATTAACTAGTTTCACATGAAAATGTGGTAGTCATATTTATCAAAAATATCTATAGATGTCCAAAAACGTATAAAAAATTTAAAAAACAAGCAAAGTCTGGCCAAATTATATGTGTAAGGCGTTAGACGTTTTGTGTTGCATCATGTAAATTGGATGAATCTGATTTGAGGGGAAAAAATGAGCGTCATATTTTCTAGAATTATTCATGTATGTTTCTGTATAATGTTTTCTTAAAAAAAATGTTATCCAAAACGCTCAGAGTGTAAATAATATATGCATCGAGTGGTGAACATGGTTTTATATAAAAATATGGGTGTTATATTATCTGAAAACATCCATATGTCTAGAAATATTTGTAGAAATCTAAAACCACGCTAAGTCCTAATCATAAATAAATCTAACACAATGTTTGACAATTTGAAGTTTTATTTTATAATTCTTTTGCTCCGAGCAATTTATTTACAACTGCCTCTACACATATCTGAGAGTCATAATCTTTCGAAAATATCCATTTATAATTCGAAATATTTATAGAATTTTTTAAAAACATTTTATTATAATTTAAAACACGCAAATTCCGGAATGAAGCTAATGTAAACTCGGACGTTTTGTGTATTTTCTTATAAATTTTTTGCAGCGCATCGAGTGAGTAAATTTATGATGTGAAAATATATGAGTCATATTTTATCCAATACATGCCTGAAAATAAATATAGAAACATTTAAGAAGAATTTAATATAGTCCAAATGTGTGAAGTCAGAAATGTACATAAAGATAGCACTCTATTGGACATAGTTTATAATTTTTTGGTATAAAGTGAATCTAAATGGATTTATACTAATATACGTATGTCTGATTTCCTTAAAATATTCATGAATAACGAGAAATAACTATAAACATATTTAAAGAGAAAAATCTTAGTCTTAAACACCAAGTCTTGAGCTTTTTTAATAATATGTTGAATAATGTAGGAATTTTCTATAAATTTTTGTATCGAGCGAATTAATTTAAACTGGTTTGATATAAAAACATGGGCGTCACATTTTCTTTATTTTTCCAAATACGTATGGAAATATAGAAGTTTTTTTTTTAATTAATAGTCGCACGCTAAGACTAACCAAATTTAATGTCGAATTCATGTCAGACACTTAGTGAATTTTGTATAATTTCTTCTAGTTAATAAATTTGAACTGGTTTCAAGTTAAAACATGGGCTTTGTACTTTTCAGAAAAATCTATGTGCGTCTTGAAATAAATAAATAAAAATTGTTGAAAAAATTTATTATTGTCTAAAATAGGCGAAGTCCGAAGCATATTTAATGATAATATGTTGGACAATTAGCAAAAGTTTTACTTTTTTTTTTATCATTTCTTGCGAAAATATGGGCAATGTTTTGGAAATATATGTGCAGACACATGTATAGAAAATGTCTAAAGTATTTTTATACAGTCAAAAACACTCAATGTTAGCAGATTAATTGCCATTTTTTTTCGAACTTTTGCATCGAGATAATCAATTTAAACTGGTTTTATGATAAAATGCGGTCATCATATGTTTCGGAAATACCTATACATGTCTAAAAATAAATATAGATTTTTTTTTTTTTGAAAAAAGAAATTTAATAAAGTCCAAATCTTGTGAAGTCCGAAAGCGTATATAACGATTACATTATATTGGATATGAATTACACTGGGGAGCAAATTTTTTGTTGCATTTATATAAATACTTGATCTTGTAAACAATTTAAATAAAAAGTTCGAAGTCAAAATTCTAAAAATATGTATGTTAGCAAAAACAGTACTTCATCATGGAATACACTGTCTGCTATGTCCATGATAAAGTGCTGTTTTTGTTCACATACACATCTTAAGAATTTCGTTTTTGGTTTCTAACGTTTTATTTAAATTGTTTATATAAGACAAATTTGATGGTTTTAGCTGTTTTTAGCGCTTTTCCATTTCGACTTAATATTTTAAAGATTTTTCTTAATATTTGCTTAAATCTATTTCATACTTTGATAGGATTCTTGTCTAATTCGTGCATGGGGATTTCAAATCTCAGACTAGTTTTACTCCGAAATTCTTTTCTTTTTAAAGTTATTTTTAGTATTTTTTTGTCGAAATCTACAAGTTTAAAAACGTTATATATAACAGGGAGTTGCATAAATGTTGCACCATACTTGTAGGGGAGTTGGGACAAAGAATATATAATGTGAGTCTCACTTATATATTCTTTGGTTGGGGTACATCATCAGGATTAGAACTGCATAGGATCCCATGTCCGAAAATGTTTCTAGCGGCTTAAGACATTTCAATGTTCGGGTTCATATGCAATTTTAAACCTGATGATGTGTCTTAACTCCCCTTGAAGTTTGTTTATGCGACCCCCTGTTATATATAACCTTTTCCACTGTTATTTAAACTTAGTCTAAATGGTACTTAACTCTTTTGTTATGACCTTTCTTTAAATTCCACTTGTTTCAATAATCATTATCTAAGATTCGTATATGAAGTGAAATTTCTTTAGAAATTTGGAAAGAAATTCTAATATACCCAAAACATGCCAGTTCCTAAGCATACGTAACATTAACATAAAGCTAGACGTTGTTTTTTTTCCTTCAAATTTTATACATTTCTTTTAAAGCAAAAAGGCAGTACGATAAGTCACAACCCCGAGAGGTTAGAATCTTTGATTAATCAAACTCAGACACGTGCTGGTAAGTATTTTCTCGACTTACACAAGGGGTTTCCACAGCCGAAAATAACGGTCGAATGTATGTTGGGCATGAGAAAATTTCTGTTAAACTTTTGCTTTTTTAGTATTATAGGTGTCATCAATGCCACCTGCTTTATGTAAGTGGGATGGGATTATAATCGTTTGCATATCTTATCCTGTGTTCTCTTTCAAGCAAATTTCACGGGTGTGGCTTGCCATCTATCTTCCTGGTGTAGAAATTCCAATGCAAAAAGTTTTTTCATAGTCAATTATTATTTTTTTTAATTTTTATAATCGTCGAAAATTTGGTAATTGAAAAACATACAAAATTTAGTCTTAATTTTAAAGTATGTAAATTTTAATGACAATTTAAAAATATGAACGACATTGGTCAAATAGTTTCTGAGTTAAAAAATTTCAAAAATTTTCCTTTGACCGCTAGTGTTTGTGTTTTGTCCTTTAAAATTTGAAACTGGAATTCACCAAATATTTTGATCGTGCTTTGTGTTTAAAATACTTACTCTTTACTTTAGGGCTTGTTAGCATAGCGGTTGTAGTTCGAGAGCTAGTTGTAGTTCCAGGAAAAGTGATATTTAGAATGTCTTCAGGTAAAAGGAATTCACACATCCCTAAATGATGAGATCTTTGATCCTAAACTTTCAAAAAAATTATTTATTGGTAAACAATTTCACATCAGAAGTTACAAAAAAAATAATTTATTCATCATTGCAGAAATTCTAATTTGTAAAAATCACCTTAAATTTTACTGAGAGTTACGTAAGGGCCACTATTAACACAACCTGTCTGTCTTCTTAAAAATTTATAACAGAGAAACTTTTAAGGTTGAAAAACAATCTTTAGCAGAAATTTCATGTGACAGATAAAATATATTTCTTCCTAGGCTTTATTCTTTTAGTTCAATGATTTTTCAACAGATGATGCTGCAAGTAGCAAACTTATAAATCAAAGAACAAATTCATGTCACAGTTTTTCGAAATTTTTTAAATTTACATATATAAACATAAAAAGCTACAACTAATCCTTTTATGTTATTCCTTTTTAGTAAATATTTTTCTTAATTCATTTTTCTAAACGAAACGCTCTTTTTCACACTTTAATATTCTTATCCTGTCCTTTAATCTATTTTTAGTTCAAGTATGCATTAGTTAACTTTTTAACGTTTATCCCTGCAACTGAGCTTGAGAAAGCTCAATTTCCCTCGACCTATTTAACAGACCAATTATTATAGATTTCCCTTATTCCCTGAAATAAAACATTTTATGGATTTATGTTGCAAGATTTACCCTAACTTTGAAGTGAGGAGCATTTTGTGTCACTTGGATATTCTTTCTCTAATTATGATGAGTAAATAAAATTAACATGACTTTGCACTAGCATTGACTGTTTTGTATAGTTAAAAAATTTAATTGAACTTCAAAATGCCTTTTTTCTGGCATGTCCCAAACAATGTTTCCAATAATAACTAGCTTCAAAGCTTCCCATAAATTTTTCAATATCTAATTTTTTTTTATCTCAACCGGTGTAAGCATTTCTAGAATATACGCAGAGGGTTTTATTTACAAAAACTTCGTTTAAAAATTTTTTTTCTGTCAATAATTTGTTTGTCTCAAGAAAATCTGTCATTTTCCTGACTACTTTTATTTAGTGGTTTATAACCAAAATAAATAGAGCCAACAATCAATATTTTATGTTAATAGATTTATTAGATACGAACATGTCTTGTTGCATGAAAAGGAACCAATTTTTTGGTTCAAAGTCTATTTCAAAAAATTTTTCAAGATGGGTAGGTTTTTGTGTTGTCGTTTTCCTGACTTCCTGAAATCATTAATAACATAAACTACATAGTGAGTTATTTTAAGAAATCCTGTTGTTTTCTGCAGAATGTAAACTTCGTAGGCCAAAATATTAAATTAAAATTATATGCTATAAAATGGCGAATTTGTCATTATCCTGGCTGTCATTTTCCTGGCTTATGAATTCCAGGACATTGAAGTGCTACCAGAAATTTTTTTAACTCTAATACTGTAATGAGGAAAAGCAAATATTAACCTAATACCAAGTTTATGTAAGATTGTAATATGGTTGGATGTAATCAAAGTTATTTATTTATTTAATGATTGATTATTATACACAATTTTATTCTATACATATCAGCAACAAAAAAAATTTTGATTCTTTCTACAGTAGATAAAAAGAATTAATCTAAGCAATTTATGGTTCATCTAACATAAATGCTTAAGCTGAATTACTTACTATTAACTTAAAATGACTGTTTTTTAAACTTCTAAGCCAATGTATCATTTTCCTGGCATTCAAGATTTAGTGAATTCCTATTTCACTTTTTTTCTCGAGCAAATGTCAATAAACTACTCTGCTGTCTGTAAGATATTAATAAATTTAACTAAAGAAGTATACAAAAAGAATTTATATTACTTTGAAGACTTTAAATTTGAAGAAATTTTTTGGTCCGAATTGTCATGTTTAAAAAGAGTCACCCATATATATAGTTTCAATGAAATATCTTCCTGATTAGTGATTGGTGATGTTCTAATATAGTGAAAATGATTTTATGCTTATAAGGATATGGCATGATTTGTGAAATTCGCTTATGAATAAAACTTATTGTATTAGTAGTTTATCGTAAGGGTGTTCATTTTAAAATAATAATGCTCAGGCTAGTCAACTGATTGAAAGACGCATTGGAAAAATTTAGCATAATATATATATATGCTAGTTAAGTTTTACACTTCACTATCGTCCCATTGACTTTATTGGTAATGTAGTGCGTACGTAAAGTAGTGTAAAGACGTAAATCTTCCCTACTCTAGTTTCTGTTTTTAATTCAAAATTTTTTTTTTATAGTTTGTAGTAAACCTGTCTATCGAAGAAAACCAAACGGAAATTATTTCATAATTTTTCGAAGTCTTTCAGTGAATGGAAATCACATTATGATATTTTCCAAAAGTTCACCCTTAGTCCCAATTACAAGTTATAATCAGAGAATGATATATATATATTTTTTTATTTTTTACAATAAAATGCAACTGGGAAAAGGGACTTCTATCAAGCTTAATATTTTTAAACTGAAAGAAGATTTGTTTTTTGTCTTACGCCACATAAATTTGTTTTTTTTTTCTTTATCCTTAACTTTATTCCTGTTATAAATTTTTGAAAACCGTCAATCTATGAAGAACACTATGTATTTCTCTAATAGTAATAGCATTAAAAAACGTGGAAAATACTGCTGACTCTTCGGTTAAATAATCTGGGGAATTCGAATATGACTCAATTTTCCCTGTCACCAAACGTTTTCTGGGGAGTCCTCATCATAATTTTATTACTTTTTGATAATTTTGAATTTGATTTGGAAGAAGGATAAGGATTATTATAACCTCATGCATTTTCTTTTTGTTTTACTTATTATTATAATTGTTACTTTAAAGCTGCATTACTGCTTATTTTAATATTTTGTAAAATTTCCTTTATTTTATTTTTTCATACTTTTTTTCAAGTTTATCTTTGAAAAAGGATATTTTTCACACGGATCACTTGATTTTACTTACATGTTCTGCTCTTGATTTCTTTGATTTTTTCTGTAATCTGGTACCCATTAGTATATATATATATATATATACACAAATTAACATGAAAAACATGAATAAAATAAAAAACTAAATGGTAGAGAAACAAGAATGGTAAAAGCAAATAGTCGTTATCAAGACACATCTATTGCTATAAATGCGATATTTCTGAATAAAGAATAATTATCCTAAGATAAAAATTATTCTTTATATGTGTCGATATCGCAAAAAACCTTATGTTGTAAAAAATCATGAAATAAAAGAAAAATGTAAAAGGAAATCAAACTTACCGGCGTGAATTAAAACGCGGTTTAGGTTTAAAAGTACAATAATAAAACAGTTAACAAAAATCGCGAAGATGTAAAATATTGCTTATAGCTTGAATCGAATATAATAAAATTAAAAAAACATTTGATCGAAGAAGAAGAAAAAAATGTTTAGGTAAAATATTAGTGCTGCCATCTATGAGAAACAATTAGTAAAAAGGTAATAAAATTGAAATAATAATAAAAATGTTTAACGGATTGAATAAATTAGCAGTCTTAAAAAAACAAAAAATAAATAAAAAAAAAAAAAAAAAAAATATAAATAAATAAATAAATAAATAAAAAAATAAAAATAAAAAAATTAAAAAAATCATTAATAGGGAAATTAATTTAAAAGTCAGTCTGTCAGGATAGAAAGCCGTTTATAGACCCATCCTTCATTCATAATTTTACAGAATACACATATCCATCTTTCATAGGGTGAATATGACAGGTCACACTTCCCATGATTTTGCAACCATTTGGTATAATTGACTCATACCATTAGTATTATAAGATTCATTACGTTCATAATTATAATACTTTTACTGTATTAATTCAGGGATGATTTTTACGGAAATGTAATTTTCCTCAAAATGTTTTCATGTTTTGATGAAAACTACATATCCGATTCCACAGATTAATAAAATTTACCTCGAATTCGAGGTGAGAAACATTGCTTAGAATGAATTAGCTTAATAAATATTTAAATATAAAATAAAGATAGGTTAGGTCAACCTCCCATGTTTAGCATATTTTCTCTACCATTTGGTTTATTTAATTGACTATCAACATTAGCATAAGATTTATCGCGTTCATTGTCGTTTATTAAAATGTTTTTACTCTAAAGACAAATAAAATGTTCAATTAAATTAAAATGTTCAGTGATAATTTTGTGCAAAAAGAGTATTCATCAAACTATGAAGAGATTAATAAAATTTACCTCGAACTCTAATTCAATATCGGAAACAGTGTTTGCTGGAGTAAAGGCTAAAAATGTGCAGCCACTGTTAGATAAATAGTTATATCTAATTCTATTCTGTAACCATTCTTGAAAAGGGCTGTCTGAATTTGTCCATTTAGTCATTTGTCCATCTGTCCCATCTTTTCCTTTGGGACAACTTATTCCACTTGTCCAAATTTTTCTTTGTTCTGCTGTAATTTTAAAAAAAGATTTCATTTTATTAAAATGTACAATCAAAACATCCCAAATTACTTTAAATCGAATCGACGAATCTCTCAGTACTAAAATGCAATCTATTGACTCAAAGAGTGGACCTCAATTATACTAATTAGTAAAACAAGATGCTGTTTTAAGACATCAGACAAAAAAGTACAGTACGCCAGGGTTAACGTAAAAAAAGTTACTCGAACCAAAACCCAAAAAAGTGATTAATGTCGCTTCTAGAATTGATTTAGTGAAGAAATGGGCGTAGTTCTTAGTTTTTCCGTTAGATTGCTGCACTCTATAAGCTCTAAATCAATCCAAGTTACTTTTCAAGGCACCACAAGAATTCATTTCAGATAATGCAAATGTCTTGGAATGTGTATTATATTTCACGTCTTTCAACTTTATTTTCTACGAGTCGAAATTTCCTACCTGAATTCTATGTGCAGTTTCTTCTGTTAAACTGTACTCAATTCGATTTTTACTCAAAATTTTAACAAAAACTACCTTAAGAAGGAATTTAAACAAAATCTATGATCAAAAGCTGATAGCTTAATATAAGAGTTACTTATATTCATCTCTAGGTTACATCTTTCATATGTCGATATATTAAGCAGCTATATTTCACGCTGTGCTAAGTTTTTTTATGATTTTTAATTAAAAGAAATGCTTCAAAAGTTAATAGGCTGAAATTTAAAAAAACCTATTAAATATAATAATACAAAATATCAAAAATTAATACAAGTGCAAAAAAAAAATTGTCTGAAGAGAGCAACTGCTTAAGATATCTGTGATGAACAATGCATAAAAATGTTTTTATAAGAAACATGTTTTCATACGGGAAACTCATTTATAACAAATTTATTCATTATTTTATAAATTTTAGGACATTAGTATGAGAAAATAAAAATAAGCTCCAACAGCAAAACAATCAATTATATTTTCCAACGAAATACATTTTAAGATGTATAGTTGCCATCACAAGAATGTTTTTAAGCTTTTCTGTAAAATTCATATGATTTTGAATTTGCTACATTTTAAATAATTGATTTGTTGTAGTATGTGTAGTTCTTTTTTTAAGTAGCCTGAGCTTACTTGTAAAACGAGTAAATTCTAAGAGACTCAACGGCTCTGTGTTACGGAACTCACTTAATGAAAAGTCCAATACTCCAGGTCCCTTCTATACTATTCTCTAGGTCTACAAACTCCAGCGTCCTTCATGTTATTTACTCCATTCACTAAACCAGTGCTGGGTCTTTGGTATATATACTCCAATTCTGTTATAATATTTTCAGCTGTGCATTTTGCTTTTATAATTAACGATATCAGAATTTAATCAATAAACAATACCTCTATAATGTTAGTATATTTTAACTAAAATCTAAAATCTTTTATTTTTATTTATTCAATTCTAGTTTGAAATACTTTCTTTATCAAGTTCCTTCCAATTAAATTAATTTAGACGAAGTATTATAATCGTAACAATAATATATTAATTTTTCAAAAAAGTAATACCACTAACATAGAGACCAGTTCAATGTATTTCTATTAATATCAGTGTTGCATATTACTATATAGATAAATTCATATTTCCATTAATCTCTACTGGTCTTTCTTGTAGGGTGACTTGCAATATTATGCTCATGATTTGCAATATATATGAATGAAAATGGATATATTGCAATAGTTTCACACTAGCTTTAGTATGATACTGGCTATGAAACTTAAACCATACTGGACACAACACTAGAACCTATGTCTTATACTGGATCCGGTATCACACCACTAGAACCATTCACAACCAGTAAATTGCACCAGCTAATGAAATACTGGTTCCAGTATCGTACTAGAACTAATATTGATTCAGTATAATACTGAAACCAATATCCTACCAGATCTAGTACTATATTGGAACCGACTTTTCCTAAGATATTTGTTTTGAAACCGGAGATAAACTTTTTCAATAGGGGATAAAATACAAGAATTTACCAGATTCTGCTTTTCTTAATGTCATGTTTGATAATATTTCCAAATCGTATTCATTGCGTATTTGAGTAAGATCAATCAAGGATGGATAATCTGGATATATACTCTGGCATCTTTGTCGAGTGGCTGCCCAAGTAGAAGATCTCCGTATGACAAAGTAGCAGGAATTATTCTCACAAATATTTTTTATGCAGCATTTATCCCATTTTTGTTTTATAACGATTTTCTCTGAAACAAAATATCGAGAAATTCAGTGTCAATAAAATGCAAAAATAAAGATCTCTAAAACAATACCTGAAAGAAATAATTATAAGGCTGTTCATCGAAAACAATATGAAATGAAGGTTTTTTGCAATATAGTAATTCATAAATGTTATATCCTATACTTCTTTCTAGAGAATCCTAATCTGCAATAAAATGTAAGGGTTTATATTCAGAAAAGATTTCAATGTTGCCCCCCATTTTAACCCATGGGATGAGGGTGTAAAATCGAGTGTGAAAGGCTTTTAAAAATATATTGAATGAACTATTTCCTCTTTTTTGCATCCGATGGAAGAGATATTTGACAGCTTCTGAACTTTTTTTTCATCCTGCACTTTAAAAATAAATATCATATATTAAATGAACCAATGCTTTTTTGAAATATTTTCTCCTTCAGAACTTTAAATTATATTATTATGCACAAGTATTACTTTCTAGAAGTATTTGAATTTCAATTATTGCATTTTATGATAAAAAAATAAGTAAAAGTGTAAAAAAAATCAGATATTCCTGTCAGTAAACTATACTCTCACGGCAGATTTTTTTTCCAATAACAGAGAATTTGACGAAATGCAATAAGTAAATGAAAGAATAAGTAAATACAAAGAACAATTAAAAATAAATCATTGTCTCATGCGGCTCAAGGTAAAAAGTTAAAATTATCATTCTAGTACTTACCAAATGCAAATAAAGGGTAATTGACAAAATATATTTTGCTTTCTTTCTGCAAAGAGTCAGGTTTTTGAATGGATTTGTAGTTTGCTCTTACAATCGACAAACTGAAATTCCCAAAACAAATTTTATAGCCTAAAGATTAGGTTATGTGTTTGAGTGGTTAATCTCAATAGTTTAATGGGCATTTAATCTGTTTTTGATGCTGGAAGCTTTGTGTTTTAATGCGTTATTAACTCTAAGGAAGAGCTTCGTATAAACTATTAATTCTATTTATTAGAAATTAAAAACATTTAAAGACTATCAACAAGCATAACATCCTTGCATAATGACATTCATTATGCTAGATGTTATGTTTGTTGATCGTCAGCAATTTTTAAATGTTTTTCAATTTCTAATTAAGGAATGGAAAAAGACTGAACAATTCCACTTTCGAGTTGTCTGTATCAATACAATTCTAGTGACACTTGCATATTAGCGTGTGCGTGATAATGCGAACAGTATTTATAAATATTAGTAGTTTTTTTTTTAAAATTTCTAAGAAAGTTTATGAAAATAGACTGTTTTTTTAAATTATTCTAAATATCTTAAAGAGGATGCTCTTCAAGATGAGTGAAATACTATAAGGTTCCCTGGATTTATTAAAACCTCTCTAAACTATTATACACCTTTACAGGAAATCTTGGAGGGAATTTATACTTTTACAATTGATACTGAAATGAGTCATATTACCGGTTGCTTCTTTTCGTCACTCAAAATAGTATCGTCGTTGGGTTTTTAAGTCTAGACACAGCTAAAACTGTGTATTTAAGAAAATGGTATTAATGATATTATTGATAACTATACATATCTATCAGTTAAATTATTCTAATAGTGAAAAACAGAATCCAGCATAAAGGTTTACTATTTTTTCTTACAAAATTGACGTTATTAGCAAACAAAAAATCCTTCCACTGAATGATTAGATGTAAACATTAAAATGGATGCAAGTTTTATTTTCTATAACATTTGTGATTTTCTATAATTAGATTTATTAAAGAATAATGTTCGGAGATTCAACTATTAATATGTAATAGTAAGTAATCGGTGATTCAACTATTAATATTAATAATTAATGTAATAAATAATTGATAAAAGAATTTTTAAGTCTCCTAATCAGACATAAGCTTTTTAAATGCAGTGTTTATTCGAAAATTAACTGGAACAGATATATTTCTAATTCTTCTCATATACATGAGATTCTGCTTTTGCACTTAGTGCTAAGACGGGAAATTAAGAATTATAATGTATCCCCTAGGATGCTTAAAAATTATGATACATCCACTGGGAAGCAGAAGAAAAGTTATCATGCTCCCACTTGGACGCATGAGGAAAATTATCATGCATCTACAGTGTCGCGTAAGAAAAGTTAATGTGCATCAAATTGGGCGATGATTACAGTAATAAATTGCAACTGAAATTGATTACAGATAATTACTGCCATGTAATCAATTATTTGCAATCACGATTACAGGCAATTGTGATTACAAGTAATCATAATTTCTGATTGCATCAGAGTCGAGCAAAAGTGTAATCTATTACATTTTTTGATTACAGTAATCAAGTACTTGCAATCATGATTACAAACATTCATATTTTTGATTACAACTGTAATCGTGATTACATAACCAATTACGGTCATCAATTACTTGTAATCGTGATTATAAGTAATCAAAATATAGGATTACATGTAATTTAATTATACGATTACAAGGCGATTGTATATCAGTATATGATTATATTTTACAGTACAGATGGTATAATGATACCTTTTGTACGTATTTGCAAACAGCTTATGTACGAATGAATGTAATTAAAATGTATGTGCATAAGTATTTATCTAATGCATATGAAGGTAAATGCATAAGTACATACATTTTAGTTACACACACAAATACATTCACTTTTATTGTATGTATAAAATGTATATAAGTATGTATATATCTATTATTAATAAAGTATGTATGTACAAACAATGTAGACATTTACATTTGTACACAATGAATGTATACATTTTATGCAAATACTTGAGTATGTGCAATGTATGTCGATGTTTGTGTACGCATGTATATACGAAGTACTAGCTACTTTTTGTACGAATATAAATGCATTGTATGTTTAATGTATATCCCATGCTTGTATGTACAATATATTTATATCCTATGCATGTATGTACATTGTATGAATGTCAAATGCATGTATGTTTAATAAAAGTATATCACATGCATTCATGTACAGTGTATGTAAGTCCTATGCCTGCATGTACACGTACACGATATATGTATGTTCAATATGTGTATGTATCAACATATTAATAATATATTTGCGCACAATTCTATGTTCAATGGACGTACATATATTTTACACATGCGCGTACATACATTCAACATGCATATATTGAACATAAGCCTTTCGTACAAATTTGCGCATGTGCGCATACATGTTTGTCTAAAGCATGTAATATGTACAATGCATTTATGTCCGATGAATGTATGAACATATGAATAATACATGAATACATGTATGTCCAATGTATGTACGTTCATATGTACTATATATGCACGTACAATGTAAGTACATATGTATGTATATATATTGTATGTACGTGTACATGAAATGAATATACACAGATATATTATACATATGTACAATATATATACGTATAAATATATGTACGTATAAATATATGTGCAATACAATAAATAAAATGTATGTAAGTTAAGAGTACGACAAATGATAACGGCTCAAAGTTAAATGACAAAATCAAACGATATTTAAATTTGGTTGTCAGCTTTAATTGTTCTGTACCATTTTAAAATTACTTGAGTAAAGAAGAATTTTTTATTTTCATAAAACAAACTTAAATAACTTAATTGTTATAAAGTTTTTTTTTAAAATATAAGTAAACATAAAAACTTTTAAAACAATAATGTTAAGCTGGAATAAGTTAAATTAACAAAAATAAATATTCATATTTATCTTAATTTTATGGTTAAATTGCATAGATATAAGAGCAAACCATGTTTTTTATTTTCTTGATGGCTAAGGAATTTGACAAATTTGCACAATGTATGTGCACACATACATTATAAGTACGGATATTTACATGTGCGCATGATTTTCTGCATTACACGTATAAGCTGTATGTATATACGTACAGTGCGCAAAAAATACGGACCATCCTGAGTAATTTTTGATCTAATGATCGGATTTTCACGTTCCACAACTCATTCTTAGTAGTTTGAAGGCGATATTTTAAGTTACGAAAACAGACACAACATGCTTTCTCTAAATAAACATACCTTTTTTTTTCTGATGGATTCGGACTTTTGATCCCCAAAATATAGGGAGTGGCTTACATCTGGGAAATATTGTCCATATAGTTTGGTTGGGAGAACGCTCCAAAGTTCGGACCCCTTAATGTTAATTTTATTTTTTGCGTATTTCGCTATATCTCGNGTGCGCAAAAAATACGGACCATCCTGAGTAATTTTTGATCTAATGATCGGATTTTCACGTTCCACAACTCATTCTTAGTAGTTTGAAGGCGATATTTTAAGTTACGAAAACAGACACAACATGCTTTCTCTAAATAAACATACCTTTTTTCCGATGGATTCGGACTTTTGATGCCCAAAATATAGGGTGTGGCTGCAATCTGGGAAATATTGTCCATACAGTTTGGTCAGGAGAACGCTCCAAAGTTCGGACTCCTTAATGTTAATTTTATCTTCTGCGTATTTCGCTATATCTCGAGAAATTTTTAAGCAGATTAAAAAGTTTTAGTACTCAATTACAAAATTCTTTTATCCAAAGATAATTCCGCGCAAAAAATAACTTTTAGTTAATATTTTTTATTTAAGAATGGTCGAAAAAATTTTGAATTGTAAGGCATTCAATTTTTTGAAATATTTTAAAGAATATGTAATTAATATGGCAAAATAAAAATTTGAGCACAATCGGTAGAATAGGAGACCCGAGAAATCAAATTTTAAGTATCTAACCTTTTTGAAATTCAATTTCTCAGAAACTATTCGACCGATTTTGCACAAATTTTGTATTTGGCTATATAAAATTGCATTCTTTAAAATGATGCGAAACTTTTAAAGCTTACAATTTGAAATTTTTTCGCTTATTATTTTAAAAACTAATACAAAATAATATAGTTACAAAAATTTATTTTTGCATGGAATTATATTTGGATAAATTAATTTTTTAGTTGTGTGCAAAAAGTTCTCCAATTTGATATAAAATTT